TTGCTGGGGTTTGAGGGCTGAAGAGGGAAAAGAACGAGGCTGAATACTGGGTGTCCTATAGCCTGGTGTTAAGTTTTATAAAATCAAAGGATACATGATTTTATTTGAACAATAATTTAATGAATTAATACAGACTCCCACTACCGTCTGCTCCTATTAACCTTTTAATCCTGTACCATCCCGATCACATGATCATGGGTCAAATCTACTCCTGACTCACTGGATTCCCCTGGGAATCATATGATCAACAGCCTATGTCATCATTTTTTATCTGTATGTGCTCCCGTCTGCGTCAGAAGCAACTAAAGAGGCAGCAATGTATGGTGCATTATGGGAAAACGCTCTTCTGTTACTGGTAAATGTCCCAGCTTTTTTCAAAATGTGCATAAGTACAAAATTGAACAAGTCATCAGTGGCATATTTATTCCAAGTATTTGCTCATCATAGGCTTTCTTTAGATCTTAGAAGCCTATTGGGCAAACAGAACACTGTTGACCCTAAAGAGGCTACAGCTGGCCCGGGCAAGTTAGAGGCTAACTGCGGAGGGTGGAAGCAGGTACGGTGGAAGATCGTATAAGTCCGCCGGATCGGTCCGGGCAGACCGAGATCTGAAGGTGGGGGAGAAGGGCTGCGGCTTAATAGATGGACGTTATTTGTTGTGATACATGTAAAACTTGCGGATGTTATGTAAAAAAAATGATTGACTGATTGTTCAGTACTGATTCTTGCAAGGTGTTGTCTTGTTACTGACAGGCTGTTTGCTAGTAAAAGTAAAAACAAATTGGATAAATTGTAATATTTAAATAATTGTGTAATTCTAAATTTCTTTTATGTTTTACATTGTTTTGTGGTTCTTATTAGTGTGTTGACATTGAGTCTGAAATTAAATAAATTAAATCAATCAATACCAGTTGCTATTAATAGACACAATATATTTTTGTTCATCAATAAGTTGAGTGACAGAGTCCACATTCCCAGCGAGGCAAGGTTCATCCTGAACGCATCTTATGTCTTAAAAGTATAAATAAATTAATATAAAATTAAGTATGCATTTAAATACATAAAAGTATAAATAAATAAGTGAATAAGCAAATAAACAACTATGTACACTTATTAATTTTTGTTTTGTCATTTTTTTTTCTCTTATAAAATTGCCCTCTGGACTCCGGACAACTTTGGATTGCTGGAAGAGAGAAACAAAAGGATTGTAACTAAATTAACATCTCTGTTGGATAATGTCTCCCACTCCATGCATGAAGCTGTTGCGGAACGGGAGAGCTCCTTCAGTGACAGACTGCTGCACCCTAAATGCACCAGAGAACTTTATCATTGATCAGGGGCGTCTCTAGGTTTAAGAGACAAGGGTGGCTCAGCCCCCAGAAGGTAATGAATTTTTTCAGGGCACCTGCTAAGGCGTTGTCTAAGACAAGCGTGTAACTTTGTGTTGAAAGTTGGTGGGGACGGCTCATAAGGAAAGGGAGCTACCTGCGCGACGCCTTTTTTTTTTTGTTGGAAAGGATAAAGCCAAAAAAATGCGAATAACATTTATCAATTTAATGCTTATAGTTGAAAACATAACTGTTACAATATTCACTTATATATTTTGTGCAAAAAATATCACATAAATCTAAACAGACAGTACAAATCAAAGAAATCAAATAAATATATCAATTTTGTAGAACATTTATTGATGGTCAATTTTGGGTCACTTTTTAAAATTAATTTACTTTTAAACCAGGACTCGGACAAGATCTTATGGGACCTTAAGCAGAATATGATTAAGCAACTCCATCTTTCTGTCAAGAACATCCACTAGCAGGGTATCCAGGGGGGGATTTACCATTAGGCAATACTAGGCAGTTGCCCAGGGCCCCAAGTTCTGGGGGCCCCATAAAACTCTGTTTCCATGTATGGTTAATACAACTAATCCTTATTTGTGCTCATTAATTATGTTTTTGATAAAAATCCTTTGGCTAAAATGCCATCAGAACGCTGATAAATAGAGAGGAAAAAGGGACAAGAAGAGAGGGACAAAACCTAGAACAAATAATGGATGTCTATTCTATTAACATTTCTCTATCTGTAGAATGGGTCTGTTTTATGGGTTTACTTCTCAGGGGGCCCCCTGCCTGTCTTTGCCTAGGGCCCCAAATTTCCTAAATCCGCCCCTGAGGGTATCAATACTGATTTGATAGAATCTGGGAGAGCGGACTATGTTCAACCATCCATTTTCTTTAACCTTATCCCTCAGTGGGATCAGGAGGTGCTGGTGCATATCTCCAGCCACGTTCTGGGTGAGAGGTGGGATCACCCTGGACAGGTCACCAGTCTGTCGCAGTATGTTCAACCAGCTTAAAAGTAATGGGTAATCAGATTTATTATTTGCACTTTTACTAAGTGAACTTTCTAACTCCCTTAAATCTGAAATTCCAATGCCAAAATTGTTTAAATCTTTTATCTTTGGACCCCCTGCAGAGTGACGTCACACCTGCAAGATCCTATCCTTACCTTCCTGCTAGATTGCAAAAAGCAGCTTGCTCATGAGTTGTCAACATAACACGCTAAATCTTAAATGTAGGTGTACATATAAAAGAAAAAGGGGCGCAGTGCTTGCTACTGAATGGCAACACTATCAAAGTCAGGAAAAAGTTTTAAGTAAAGCCGGGATTAAAACAGTAGCTACAAGAAGCTTCAAATAAAAGGTGTTCTTTATGTTCAACCTAAACACCAACTCTGACAGACCATCAGTAGAGCAGGTGTTTAAATTAATCAATCACTGCTGTAAAAGCTTATAGCAGTGAAAGCTAATATACCACAGCCATCACTTAATAAACGCAAAATAAACAACCCTCTAAAAACGGAAAACTGTAATGGACTGAAAGTCTTGTTTTTTATGTGGGAAATTATTTGCGTGTGTTTTAGTATAATTCTGATATATTGGCGCTGCTGTCTGTTTCTATGGCAACGATACTGAATGTAGTGTAGCCTAGAGACCTGCATGGGTCGAGTTTTACCAACCCACACCCGCCCGAACCCGTTAGGATGACTACCGAACACGACCCGTCACCCGCGGATATCTTCAATTCAAATGTTATGGGGAGAGGCAACAGATTCTTTTTTCTGAGTTTTTTGTCGGGGTTTGTGGACGGTGAGCAGCGGGGAGAACTTTTTTATTTTCTTTCTGAGGAGCGGCATGAATGGGGTTTTAATCAGATATACACAGCACCGAAAGCAAAATACGTGTACAAAATATTGGTGGGGTGATGTCCACACCAGTCCTTAAGGAAGTTACGCCTATGATTGTTCAGATTAACTTGTCTTCTTTATGGCTTTTATTCGGTGCTTTACTGCATTTGTTTTGGGAAAATATGAGGAAAAAATAAATACAGAAAAAAAAAAAATATTTTTTAAAATCGCAAAATAATTATAGGGTGGCTAATGCCAAAGAAAGGGTGGCTGAAGCCACCCTTAAATAGGTCTAACGACGCTTTTGTCATTGATCCTTTGTCCCAGCAGCTGTAAGACATTATAATCACCACTGTTCCTAACAACCTCAATAAATTGTTACATTCATGCTGATTTTGCAGTTTCTACCTTAGCGCGTTAAATAACATGCTGCTGTCATTTTGCACATCTCTGATGTTGCTGCTATTTTCAAATATGCACTACTGTAAAAATGTCCCTTACAATATATTGGTTATTTATTCTCCAACACTTTACAATACAGTATTTTATTGTTTATATCTTCACTGTTATTTTTTTCTTATACATCTTTCCAAGGTCCACATTGTCCACATTTCTCTAATCTTTTTGCTGCTGTAAACACCAGAATTTCCCCATTGTGGGACAATAAAGGGATATTCAATTCTATTCTAAGAACCAGCAGAGATCCCTACATATCTTACCTTGTTGCTGCTGACATTAACAGGATGAGCAGCTCTCCCTGTGCCCGACTCTCTGTTGGAACTGGTGTTGTTCAACCTGACTGATCACCGTTGGGGCGTGTCAAACCGCAAAGGAAAAGTATAAAAAAAAAAAATTGTTTCCATGTGACTCCTTGTTCTGTAGTGCAATCAATATTCTGCTCCATCAAGTTTCAAGTTTTCAATTTCCGTGGAAGAGAAACCACAGAAAGTGGGTGTGTTGTGTTTATGAGTTTCTACCTTCTGACAGCTCAATAGTATTTACTGGTTTACTTGTTATTGGATAAATATAACCCACTGTGCTTAAATGTATTTCATGATTGGTTCTTACAGATTATCTGATCATCAGTACCTTGGAGCTTTTGGTTTGTTTTTATTTTTGCTATTCCCACCCAATCAATTGTGAAACTTGTATTGGTGTTATTAGACTGTGATGAAATTATAATAATATATTTCAAAGTAATTCATACCCCTTGAACTATTCTACATTTTACTTTAAGTAGTAAAGTGAAACCTTTACAAAAAGCTGTCTGTTTGGGTATTTCTTTACAAACTTTACACGTCTTCTGACTAAAAGTTCTGATGGTGCTACTTTAGTTATATAGCCTCAGGTAAATTAACCTAAAACAATGTTTTATATTGTGTTTTTAAAAACCTACCTTTTAGAAAAGTTTTGCTGCTTGGGTTGGACTGCTGGAGGACATAGTGACCCCTTTTCATCATTCCAGATGGAACAGCTCGTCCCACCGGGCGAAGGCCCATTGGAGGACACAGGACATGTGAACGTGCTCTTTATTGGTTGCATTAAATGCATTCAAAAGTTTTCCAACAAGACATAATCAATCAACCCTCCTCACTCAACAAATCCTTCTAATTACCTTTTTAGGACTTCCTTTTACGTGTCATTATTTACGAAGTTTTGTTTAGTATACCCTCCTTGTACACAAAATGACAATAAAGTTTTCTAAGTCTAAGTAACAGCTGGAAGAATTGAAACTGAAAGCAATCAGCAGTCAGAAAAGGAGGGGAAAGGTAAAGACCAGACAAATGAGAATCAGATCACTCAGAGGTGCACCGATGTGGGACAACGTCAGGTAGGTGCTTCTTTAAACAGGGTCTTTAAATGGAAATCCATAAGTATGATCAAATATACACAATGTTGATTACTGATTCCAGGTAATATGGGTTCATGTATTGCTGTGATGTGTCTCTGGGAATGTTTTTTATATTTTGGTCAGGTTAAGTTTTTCAAAGAAAACCTGCATGAACGTTTGTCCCGAATGTTCAAAATAAATAAGATGGCTTATAGCGTGACAGATGGAAAGATGAATAGAGAAAAAAAAAACAGACATTATAAAAGATTTAGTTTGCAGTAGAACACGGTCCTTGTTGTTAAATTTGGTTGCTTTTCTATATACTCATGTAAACATTTGAAGTCCACTCCCTTTGTAAAGATGTGGCTAAAGTGGTTTGGGTTTTTACACTGACAATCTTAGTTTATTATTCAGACACGTTTCAGCCTGAAAACTTTCTCTGTTAGACATGCTTTGCATGAAGAGTTTTAGCTTATTTAATGCTGCTAGATCAGCTCAATTATGCTTTTCTCTTTTCACCATTTTTTAAATAATCCCCTTGACAGGGATTTTTGATAAAGAGTATTGATAGACCTGTTTCATTCTTTTACAAAGTAAATAGTTAAAACATTAACACTTGAAAGATGGCAGATTTATAGACGTTGGGGGTTTATTTATTTTTACAACTATTTCCAACAGGTGACTTTTTTCATCACAACCTAAAATAAACATAAGTATTGTACTCAGAGCTCTTAAAGCATCAAATACTGTGCAAATGCCACATAAAGCAGCATTCAGAAGCTCTAACTAAGGTTTACACTGTTCCAAAAATATATTAAACAGTAGCCTTGGGAGACACATTATCAACTGACCCGACGACAGTAAGAATCAGAGTCATCCCAAATCTGACTGTAATCAACCCAAGTTATTTTCTGTGTTCCATTCAGGTCAAATCTCTGAACACAACATCCAACATGAGCCTCCAGATGTGTCACTGTGGCTGGTCCAAAGTCACCACCCACCACGGTCTGAGAACTCACCAGGGGAAGATGGGGTGTACACCCAAGGGAATGCACATCCCTCGGAGTGAACTATTAACATACATTCCAATAAGTTTTAAGGGAACAAGTTTGATCAATGTAAAAGACCCTTCTGAAGATATTTTTAGGACTTCTTTGCAGTCTGGTGAGTGCTTTTCTTTAAAACATTTATATCTCAATGTAAAAAAAACAATCCATATGTTTTTACACTGTATAAGTAGACAACCGTACAGCCTTTGTTATCAATAGCAGCACAATTTTGATAACTACAGAGTTTGATCCTCTGTTTAGGTACACCTAAAAGACAATATATCTTTTAGATTATCTAATCATCAATCACTGTTTGGTTTTACTTTTCAGACCGCCAATTAAGTCATGTATGTTCCAGCTTCTCACTGATTTATTTATTTTCTTATAAATGTTGTATTTCCTCCAAAATTATTTGTATTTTAGAACCTTTCCATATTTTCTAGCTTCAAACTTACATGAAGTAGGGCATCACTGTGAAGTGGAAGTAGAGAACAAATTGTTTAGACGAACCTCTCTTTAGATATAAAGAGACTGAGTTTTCTAATGTTGCCACCTCATGAAAGAGAAAAACAACAAGCTGATAGTTAAAATTAGGTCACAGTGCATCCTTGACTTTTGGTAAAAGGAAAATAGTAATTAGTAAAAAAAAAAAAACACACAAAAAAACAGGTATTTACAAAGCTTTTAAACTTTAATGGAAAAGTTTATTCTTCCTGACGTACACAAATGAGAAACAGAAGGTAGAGCGCAGAAGAAAAGCCAGCATCTGATTCATCAAAGTTAAGCGCCTTTCACAGGTCGTGAAGGTGAAGGACTGCTGTTGGGACTGCTGTTTTGATTGAACAGCCTTTAGCCTTCCAAACGTCACAACTCAGTAGAAACATGTATGGATGATGCTAGTCAAATTCTAGACTTCAACCTGCTGTAATCAAATCTAACCCATGCTTTGCATAAGGAGTTTCAGTTTGTATCTTAAACGTTGCTGTCAGGTTTTCAGCTCATAGGTTTTTTTCTTTTTATGTGTTGCCTTTACGGTTAATTCTTTCAGGGTTTTTTTTTCTCTTGTCTCTTTTAATCCAGGGGGTTTTAAAATTTGTCCCTGATCCAAGTCTTCTGAATCAAATGGCTTAATTACTTCATCAGAATGCAGTGCAGTTCTGCCAAGTTAGGCTGATTACCTGGCTATTTATTTGAGTGTTTAGGCAGAGACATCTGAAACATGAAGGACACCAGCCTTCGAGTACTGGAGTTGAACACCTCGGCTTTGATGTGTCTAGTCTGAAAACAGGTTTTGACCTAAGCTGTTCATCACAGCTACAGGGAGACATGTCACATTAACACATATTAAGGTTTTCTTCGTACTGTATGTACCTCAATCCAAAATCCACTTGTTTGAACTGGGTCTAAAGCGCGGGGCTATTTAGAAGTTTCTATGGGGACTTCAGGTGACGTCATGGATTCGCTTGCAGCGTGTTAATTGAGCTCCGCTGGATGTCATTTAAAATAAGAGCGACAACTAAAATAACTCGACGCTGAAATATAAAAAAAATATATGAACGAAACATGAGTTCCTCCGCTGGACAAAGAAGACAAGATAAACTGGATCCCTCGAGAGGAAAAGACGATAAGCCGAATCCACCGAGCCCGACTAGCAAACACACGGCTAGTAGAAACACAATTAAATCAGACTTAACGGTGTTGGAAGAACTGAGAAAACTCCGAAAAGAAAATCAAGAGGGACATAACCACACTAAGCTGGCTCTTAGCCGCATTGAACAATCTGTTTCGGACATAAAAGACCAACTGGTGGAGCACGAAGAAAGAATGGGGAGATTTGAGGAGAGACTCAGCACAGCGGAAGACACGGAGCTGCGGCACCAGCGGGCGCTAAGATACCTGCTGCACCACGATATTGAACTTTCGGCAAAGTGTGAAGATTTTCAAAAGAGGCTGAGAAGGAACAATATCAGAATTTTTCAAATCCCGGAGGACAGTGAGGGAAGAGATATGGCGGGTTTTGTAAAGGCTCTACTCCAGAAGGAACTTAAACTCCCACCGGACCTGGATATTAAGATTGAGAGGGCACATCGCTCACTGGCGGCTAAGCCGAAAGATTCAACGGCGCCTCCAAGATCAATAATAGTGAGATTTCTGGACGCGGCGGTAAAAGACACAATCATAAAGCAGGCATGGATCAGGACTACTCTCCTGAGCTACAGCAGAAACGGATGAAAGTACACGAAGTTATTAAACAGCTTAAAAAGAAGAACATACAGGCAAGGTGCCTGTATCCAGCGCAAATAAAAATTAAGCTGAACACCGGGGAGAAGACGTTTGCGTCGTTAACGAGTGCCGCAGCGCTGCTGAAGGAGCTGGGGATTGACGCGCGATGCGGGGAGAGGGAGCACATCGAGGAGGAGCTGAAGGATGGATGGAGAAGCCAAGGGAGGAGAAAAAAAGGAGCACTTCTGTCACCAGCTGATCTCAAGACCCTTTTGCAAGAGGACTAAAGGGATATTACCATTGAGACAGATAAAAAGGTTGTTTCAACTAAAGCAGGGATAAGGTCGGTAACTCCACACTGATTATAACTAACCGACTCATAAGAATACAGTAAAGCGTCAAATTATTATGATCCTAATATATATTGTTGTCACAAAATAAGTTAATGTGTTAGACAGTCCAAAGGAGGCTTTGTTTGAGTTGATGAGTGGAATACACTCTCTGAGACCTTTTTTACATGTTAGTGTAATATTGGTCATATTTGCACTGTGTGTGCTTTTTTCCACAGAAAGGGTAGGTCACACCTCTCTGCCCCAGTACCATCGGGGATCTGGCACAGCCAGAGTTAAGATGCTGTGTCAGATTGATGAAGTGGAAGCTAAGTTTTGTGTTAATTACACTGTTCTTTGTGTTTTGTTTTTCCTGACGGTTATAAATAAAGTCACTTTGTTAATCAGTAGATACCCTTTGACATCCAAATGTAAACAGGCAGGGAGTTATATCGAAAGACTCTATATGGACCATGGCTGAGCTGAATTTTATAAGTTATAATATAAGAGGAATTAATAATCCAATTAAAAGGAAAAAAATTCTGGGACAACTAAAGAAGCTGCACTGCTCTGTTGCTTTGATTCAGGAAACACACCTATCAGAGACTGAACATCTAAAACTGAAAAGAGAGTGGGTAGACCAGGTTTATAGTTCTTCATATGGGAGAAAAAAGAAACGAGGGGTAGCTATATTGTTTAATAAATCTGTGTAATACAATAATGAGAAAACCTTTCATGATGACGAAGGCCGATATGTTATGGTAATAGGCACAATTGGAGGAGTAAAGATAACCATACTTAATATTTATGCCCCAAATGAAGATTGCCCACAGTTTATCAAAATGGTCACAGCTCTACTTGCAGATAAAAGCGAAGGGATTATACTGGTGGGGGGTGACTTCAACTGCACCCTGGATTCAAAGTTGGACAGGTTACCTACAATAATAAAATCTGAATCTAGAATGTCTAAGGCATTATCAACTATGATGAAGGAACTGGGACTAGTAGATATTTGGCGTCAACTCCACCCCAATGAGAGAAATTTCACGTTTATGTCCCAGGTTCATGGGAGCTATTCGAGGATAGATCTTTTCTGCGCAACCAAAACCGAATTGTATAGGATAAAAGAGAGCACAATTGAGCCAATCACTATTTCAGACCATGGCCCGGTGACCATGAAAATGAAAATTTAGGAATAGATAATCATTTCAGACATTGGAGGCTCAATGTCTCATTATTAGCAGACACAAACATTAGGCAAGAAATACATAGAGCCCTGGTTGAATACTTCACCATAAATGATGATGGTAGTGTCTCCCCCTCAATTGTATGGGATGCCAGTAAGGCCACAATAAGAGGACAGATTATTTCTATAGGATCCAGGATAAAGAAACAAAGGCTGGCTAAACAACAAGGATTGGAAGCTGAAATAAAAAAGTTAACAAGAGAACATAAACAAATGGGAAAGAACAATACTTTAAAAAAATTAAAGGAGGTTAGAAAACAACTGGATGAAGCTCTGACATATAAGGCAGAGGGAGCGCTCAGATATACCAATAGAACATATTACGAAATGGGTAATAAAGCAAGCAGATTACTGGGTTTTCAACTAAGAAAGGCCCAATCTAGTCGTGCAGTTCCCAAGATCAGGAACCCAGAAACCCATCAGATTGAGACTGACCCAACTAAAATCTCAGACTCGTTTGCAACCTATTACAAACAGTTATATACGGCTGAAGAACTAGAATTTAAAGAAGAGAAAGTTAAAAAATTTTTAAGCCCTCTTAATCTGAAAAAACTATCAAGTGAGGATGCAGAACTGTTAACAAAACCTATTACAGAAAGTGAAATTAGGGAAACCATCACCAAATTAAAAAACAATAAGTCACCAGAAACAGACGGCTTTTCTGGAGAATATTACAAAATATTTGTGCATGAACTCACTCCCATACTATGTAAATTATATAATTACGTACTTAAATCAGGAGACCCCCCAAATTCATGGTCGGAAGCCATATTAACTGTAATACATAAGGAGGGGAAGGACCCTCATCAGTGTACCAGCTATCGCCCTATAAGTCTACTCTGTGTGGATTATAAAATCTTGACTTCCATAATAGCTACCAGGATTAAAAAAAAAAATTAAGAAATTAATACAACCAGATCAAACAGGATTCATACAAGGATGTCAAGGAACAAATAACATAAGGAGAGCCCTGAACCTGCAGACAACAGCACGAGAAGACACACAATCGTCAATGTTTCTCAGCTTGGATGCTGAGAAAGTATTCGATCGAGTTGACTGGGTGTTTCTGAGGCAGACACTAATAGAAATGGGCTTTGGGAAAGAATTTGTGGCCTGGATCAATCTATTGTATAAAGAGCCCAGCTCCAAAGTTAGAGTTAATGGTCACTGCTCCAGCTTCTTCAGGATTGAGCGAGGTGTTAGACAGGGGGATTTGTTGTCTCCTATCTTATTTGCCCTAAGTATTGAACCTCTGGCAGAGGCAATACGCCAAAGCGTACATATCCAAGGGATAGCAGATGAAGGGGGGTCAGTTCATAAAATAGCTCTATTCCCAGATGATATTTTACTATTTGTAAAAAATCCACTTCTTTCCATCCCTGCACTTATGAAGTGCCTGTGTGAATACGGGTCAGTGTCTGGTTACAAAATTAACGAGACTAAGTCAGAAGTCATGATGATTTCAGGCACCTGGCCTGAACAGCTAAATAACAGTGTCTCCTTTCACTGGTCCAAACAAGGATTTAGATATCTGGGAATTATTATTACACCTAACCCCACTCAGCTGTTCGAGGCCAACTATAGCACATTAATTAGACAAATAAAAAACGATGTGACGCACTGGGAGGTCCTTCCCCTTTCTTTAATAGGTAGAGTTGACACTGTAAAAATGAACCTGCTGCCTAGACTTTTGTTCTTGTTTCAGTCCCTTCCTGTAAAAGTACCTGCCTCTACTCTAAACACGTTAGATAAACTAATTTCAACATTTATCTAGCAAGGGAAGAGACCGAGGGTTAGATTGAAATGTCTTCAATTGCCTAGGGAAAGGGGAGGACTGAGTCTCCCGAATCTTAAAAATTATTACCGGGCTGCCCAAATAAATGCAATTGTGGCGTGGCTTGAAAATGACCGGGAAACAATATGGAACTCAAATAGAGCAAGATTCAGTTAAAGCTGTTCCTCTATCTACACTGCCATTTATTGTTACAAAGTTAATTCAAAAAATTAGAATAAAGAACGAATGGATGAAACACACGTTAAAAGTATGGACAACAGTTAAAAAATTGCTCTGCGGACCGGAGTCCATCTCAAGGGCCATGTTAATAGTAGGGAACATAGAATTTCCCCCTTCGGTGTGGGATAGGGGGTTTAAAAGATGGGCTGATAAAGGTCTCTGTACAATCAATCAACTCTTTATAGAAACAGAATCAAATCATTCTCTGAACTTCAAGAACAATTTGACCTCCCATCAAATGATTTTTATAGATACCTTCAGATAAGACATTATATCACAAGTCATAAAGAAAGGCATTTGGTCAGAAAAAAAACAAATGAAATAGAAGATTACTTTATCAGTGTTATAGAGAAGCATTTACCAACAAAAAAACACATATCTAATATATACAAAAGGTTAGTAACTGACACATTACAAAACACAAACAATATCAAGGAAAAATGGGAATTAGAATTAAATGTTATAATTGAAGACTCTACATGGGTGGATATATGTACCGACTGCCATAGGGGAATTAGCAGCCAACTATGGAAAGAATTTGACTGGAAAGTGAAGATCAGATACTTTAATACTCCCTTTATCATCTCCTCATTTGTGAAAAAACCTAGTGTAGCACTATGTTGGCAAAATTGTGGAAAAATTGGAGATACCACACACATTTTTTGGGATTGTCCTGTAATACAGGGATTTTGGGACAATATTAGAAAGGAAATAGAGGGAATATTGAAAGTAAAGGTGATGCCTGAACCTGTGATGTTTTTGTTGGGAGCCATACCTAAAAGTAAATATAACACAGATCAGAGATATATACTGAGGGTTCTTTTATTGATAGCAAAGAAAATGATTACTGTGCACTGGAGAGATGTAAAACCACCAACTATAAATCAATGGGCCCAGAGATTGAAACATGTTTACATAATGGAGCAAATGACTGCAAGCCTGCAGCTAACTATGGACACTTTTATACAAAGGTGGACTTGTATTTCAGAATATCTGGGGGTCTGATGGAGAGGACGAGATATTACTAAAAGGAGGAATCTGATGGAATTCCTCATTGGGAAAGGGTACTGCTTGACCACAGATTATAGATTGTGGATGTTGTCTGCTCTGCCTGCTGTCATAATTGTAAAGACTTTTGGTATTTTGTGTTTGTCGTGATGTGTACTATTTGAGTTTCTGTCAGGAAATGTTATGTTATGTAAGATTTATAAAATGGTTAAATAAAAAGTTCAAAAAAAAAGAAGTTTCTATGCATTATTTTTTCATTTTCATGAGTGATCTTTACTTCTGCAATGTTTGCCTTGAAAACCATCTGCTTTCAGGTTGAATGGCGACTAATACAGTCAAGTTTTCCTTTTCTCTCAAACACTACATTCTAGAAGGTGCCGACTTTTAGTAACAAGAGCTTCAGAAACAACAACGAAAGTGAAATACAACTTATATGACTTAGACAGACTCAGTATATTTTCTGCGTTTCATTCAGGCAAGATCTTTGAACACAACTCCTCTGACAAGAGCCTCCAGACCTGCCACTGCGGCTGGTCCAAGGTCACCACCTACCACGGCCTGAGGACTCACCAGGGGAAGATGGGATGTACACCAAAGGGAATGCGCATCCCACAGAGCGAATCATCTGGTTACATTTCAAAAAGTCTGAACACACCCAGTCAAATTACATTAGAAGACAATTCCACAGATACATCTAAGACTACTTCAAAGTCTGGTGAGCCTTTCATTGTAAAAGTTCTAAATGTTTTTAAATGATGAATTTCATTGGTTGGCCTTGGTATTTTTTAAGGGATTCTCAAGCATTGTGACATTAATTTAAGTCTCATATCCTTGAGATCTGTAATATGATCATATTTGCCATGTATATAGTATATTGTGCCCTTTGGTTATAAGCAGAAAAGGAGAGAAAAGAATCTACACCATTTAAGCAAAGTGATAAGTGGAAGAGAGAGAAGGTGCAAGAGACTCCAGGTAAGATACTGTCAGAATTCAAATTGACATGGTGTATTACCGTAACATTTATAAAGCAGCAGTTTTGAAGAAAAATAAGGCGTTATTGGGTTTGATGTAAGGGATGGCCTTTTACTGATCCTGATTAAAATATTATATAATAATTTTTGTATGAAACCCGGACATAATAATGCCAAAGGTGAATAGATGTGGCATTTATTTGTTTCTTTTACTGTAATTGCAATTTATTCAGTTAATTGTCTTTTGTTTGACCACAGGAAAACAGACGATTAAGAACTTGGTAGAGCAATATGACCAAGCGCAGCATGAGGGAGAGCGGCCATGTCCCGGTAAGATAAAAATACAATACAAAAACACCAGTAATGTCAGAATTCTGAAAAGTTTAACAAAATTGCGAATGCACTGAAGATTGCAATGTTATAAACTTAATGAATAATTACACCATCTGAACAATTATGTCATGCTTGGTGCATGATATGTTGTTTTCTTATATCTATGATATACCCATTAAATTTTTTATATAGCGCCAATTCAAAACATGTCATCTCAAGGCACTTTACAGAAACAATTCAACCAGATCATATAGTCAGGTTGGTTAAAAATTTTCTATCTAAGGAAACCAGTTGATTGCATCGACTCATTGACTCCAAGACAAGCCCTCAAACCGAGCATGCTTGTAGCGACAGTGGAGGGGAAAATTTAGTTTTAATAGGAAGAAATCTACAGCAGAAACATCCTTAATGTTAGCGGCCATCTGCCGAGGCTGACTGGGTTCAAGGAGACAGAAGCAGAAATACAAAAGTCAACTATAAACCAGCTCCACATGCAGCCCCGTCCAGGAAACACACAGCCATGCAGACGAGCTCCGAGTGAGCTCCCATGTCAGAGTATGAAAGAGAGCACATACAGTTAGTCAGAGAAACAGGACCACATTGAAAAACAGGCCAAACTCCAACATCTATAAACAAAGGTATTGATGGCAACGGCCAAGCTGATATTTCTCTCCATGATGGAGGACATAGGGACCCATATTTCATCATTCTGCTTAATTCTATCTCTATTCTCTCACTCTGCAGAATCTGTTAGTTCAATCTCTAAAGTTATGGTCTCTCTGCTTATCCCTCTCCTCATAGTAGCTTTGCCTCATCTGTTCCTGTTTGGCTGTGACACCATCCTGGAGAGAAATATCAACTGCACTGTTGCCATCTACACCTTTGTTTATAGATGTTGGAGATCAGCCTGTTTTTCAGTGTAGTCCTGTTTCCCTGACTGTGACTAACTGGATGTTCTCTCTTCATCCTCTGACATGGGAGCTGGCTCGGAGCTCGTCTGCCTGGCAGTGTGTTTCCTGGACCATGCCGCCTTTTACAGCTGCTTTTTGCATCTCAGTTTCTGTCTCCTTGAACTCCGGTCGGCCTCAGCAGATGGCCGCTCACACTGAGCCTGGTTCTGCTGGAGAATTCTTCCTGTTAAAAATGAGTCTTTCCCTCTCCTCTGTCGCTACAAGCATGTTTAGAGTGAGGGATGCATTTTGAGTCAATGAGTCGATGCAATCAGCTGGTTTTTCTTGGATAGAAAACTGAATCAATTTGACTGGATGATCTGGTAAACTGTAAAGATGACGTGTTGTGAATTGGCGCAATGTAAATAAACTGAAAACGGAATTGAATTGAACATTCCTAGAAGACCAAATGCCTGTAACGTAATACAAATAAAATGGTGGCCTTTACATCTTTCTAACAAGCACTATGAAAAAAACATTATTAGTGTCATGGGGGGTAAAGAAACCTAGCCCATATGCAGAACAACTCGGAGGCAGGGAAAAAGTTCAAAGGTTTATTTACAAAGATGTATATTAATGAGAACAGGTCCAAGGTTAGGGAGACTGGTCAGGAATTGGTTCACCGCTGATCTGGAGAGGAGCAGAGCTGCAGAGGAGGGAACCTTGTGGGTCCAGAGGCAGTTGGCAGGCCGAGGGCTGAGGGCTAGCAGAGCTGAGTGCAGGCAGGAGGAGAACTGAGAACTTGGCAGAGGTGGTCTGAGTGCACGCGGGCAGGTTCCAGGTTGGGAACAGAGTGCAGGCAGGAGGAGAACTGAGAGCTTGGCTGAGGCAGTCTGACTGCAGGCAGGCTGGTTCCGGATTGAGCTCTCTCTCTCTCTCTTGAGAGCTTGGTCTGAGTGCAGGCGGGCAGGTTCCAGGTTGGGAACAGAGTACAGGCAGGAGGACAACTGAGAGCTTGGCTGAGGCAGTCTGAGTGCAGGCAGGCTGGTTCCAGATTTAGGTCTCTCTCTCTCTCTCTCTCTCTTGAGAGCTTGGTCTGAGGCAGAGGCATAGCTTACTGTATGCTTGCAGGCAGATCACAGACAGAGTCTCTCTCCAAGTTATCTTCTGAGAGCGGGCAGGTAGATGCTGACAGAGGAAGCCCTCCAGAGTTCAACAGAGAGCAGGCAGACAGATCACCGGCAGAGAAACTCTCCAGAGTTTCAGGTTAACAGGCAGGGTCAACCTGTGAGGCAGAGAGGAGAAAACAGGATCAGGTTCAGATCACAAAAAGTGAGAAGACTTAGACAGGCAGGTTGGCTCAGGTTTTGCTAACCGTTACTGGCAAACACTCTGGCGCTGGAGTGTTAGTCTCCTCCTCCTTAAGTAGGCCCAAGGCTGATGAGGAGATTAAAGACTCAGGTGAGCCCAAGCCCTCAGGAAGGGATCCTTGGCGCCCTCTGGTGGGCAAGCCTCCGGATCCCAACAATTAGGGGAGCCCCTATTGCACCATGACAACAGGCAAGAGGAAGCCTTGCTATCTCCCAAGAGTGGAACTAGAGATTTTAGTGCACAATTTATATACAATACAGAATCTATTTGAAGAAAGAGCAACAGCGCTGAAGTCGCTAAAGCTGTAAAGGAGAGGGATGTGGTGCAAGACTGTTGCTCAAGTTAATGCGTACATTTATATGTAGTCTGTTTTAGCAGCCTGTTCTAACATTAATTAGCACTGTCATATCTGCTATTCCATTTGTGGATTGCTTAAATAGGAATTTTCCTGTTAACAATCACATTCCTAGTCAGAACTCTAATAATAGATATTCTAAATAAGATTTTACCAGCAAAAACTGAATTTCAATTTAAAAACCAAAATTGTACTAGTAAGAATTTCATTCAATACACCTAGAAATATTTAGACATTTTAAGTGGCCATTTTTATTTCATTTTTTTAGGTTTTTATGGCAATAGTACAGGAAAGACAGGAAAGGGGGTAGGAGAGAGGGAGAGAGACATTTGGCAAAGGACCAGAGGCCACATTTGAACCTAGGTTTGTCCTATCGAGGACCAAGGCCACTTTTTTTGTGCATGCTAACTACTGTGCTACCGAAGCACATGATATTTACCCAGTGTGTCATTAAAACTTACCTGCCATTTTTTGGTTTGAAGGAAGACCCAGATGTAAAACTAAGACACTTGAAGCTAAATAAAGTTTTTTTATTGAATATAGTCAAAAATAACTTGAAAGGATTTGGGTAAAAGAAACAAAACAAAACAAAAAGAACAGCAAGGATTGTTAAAAAGATTGAGCTGTAACCCGAAGTGAGGGTTTAGTCAAAAACCTGGACAATGGTGGACAACAAAGTTAATTCGAGACCAGGATGAAATTTGCCCCTGAATACTCTTTTAGCAACAACTGTACTCCCAACAGGGCCTCTTAACTACCTCTAATCCCTCCTAAGTCATGTGGAGTATGGCAGTTAGAGGAGTGAGCAGATAAAGATAAAGATAGCATGCAAAGACAATCTGCATATTGGACAGCGATTATATCTCTGCTATATAAATATTTATCTCATCTTTTAAAACAGGAAACTTTGAGAAGAAGGAATGAAAACTTGAGCAATTTCAACAGAATATTCAGTATTAGTCAGTATAAACCACTTATACCCCTTTCGCAAAGAAAAAAAAATGTTTAAGCCCTCAACAATCATCTTTCAATTTGGCAACAAACCCAGCTTGAAATGGCCTTCAAACGACCTGGCCTCGATTGGCATGTAGTAGAATTGAAAAATAACTAAAAAGGAAGATAAGTTTACAGCTTTAATTAGCTAAAGGGATTTTAAGGAATAATTGCTTATGTATACTGATTATTGCCCTCTGACCCCTTGCTCACACTGGCTCCGGTGCGGTTATCGAGCCGACGGAGACTCCTGCACACCCCCTCTCACACCGCCCTTTTGACTACGGTGCGGTGCGGCTCTGCGGCTCCGGTAACAGGTCCGGAGATTTAACTCGCGAGAACAGAAGTTCACTTGAGTTCACGTAACTTCACGCGATAACACGGCCCAAATGTAAATGAATCAAGTGATGGGGCCACAAAGTTTTGACCCCGTCTTACCAGCAGGCGGCAGTGACGTCATATGGGTTGTACAGAGGGAAGGCTGAGAAAGGACAGACAATACATGCAAACGAACGTGTTTTATTTTTAAAAAAAACAGGAAGTCTTTTATTCTCATTGGAAAACTTCCTGTTTGTGCCGTGATATTTGCGAGAGCTTGTTGCGGAGGGCTCCGGCACGCCGCAAGGATAGCTTTCTTGCTGAATTTTCTGCAGCGCCGGAGTGTCTCGGTAACCGCAGCCGGACAGCTCAGCAGCCGGTGAGAGAAGTTTACGTCTTTTTAATGACTTGGAATCACTGCGGCGCCGCACCCACCGCACCGCAACGGTAAGACCGGAGTCGGTGTGAGCCGGGGGCGAACTCAGATCTTGAGGTATCATTATTTTTACAAGCAAAGTTAAAGTGGGAATAAAATTTTATTTTAAATGCAGATTATGGTAAGAATAATAATAAATAACAGTGTTACCAATACACTTCTAACAAGTCTGTGATTGGTAAAAAATCACGATTTATTTTACCGTTTTTTAATCATTTGCTGACTGTTGAGAAAACGGTCATTATCTTAAACAAAAATTATTTCAACCTTAAATACAAGAAAAATAAATTTTTTTAGGATTTCAAGTAAGAAAGGGTTGTTCGTGTAAAAAACTTGAACATTTAATATAGTTCAATATTTTAAATGTTACAAAAAAGCAAACTGATAAGAACAATTCCCGAAATGTTGAATAAGAAATCTCATATTTTTGCACAAACCTACACACACACACACACACACACACACACCATTATTTACCTTCAGCATCAACACTCATTATGGAGTAGGAAACCACCTTTGAAGAACAAAGGAAAAACTAGAATTCTGTCTAATGCCTCAAAAAAAGCATTTACGCCACCTGTTGGTTAATTAGGAAATTGACAGTTAGTGGTGAAAAATGATGTGCTTACATAAAAGAATATATTGATTTCTGATACCATAAATTCGGCAGTCAAAATGTATATTTTAATGGTTTTTAGAAAAGTTATAGCTAATGGGTGACTTTCTATTTTCTCTCTTTTTTTTTTTTTTTTTTTAGCCATTATAGACTTAACAAAGATCCTCTGATAGTACATTGCATCTACTTAAACTTACATATTTTTATTCAACACAACGAAATGGAGCGGAAAAACAAAGCAAAATGTAAGACACAAATTCCAAAATTCCACTATGGTCTCTGACAAAGATAATTTTATTCACTAATTTGTTTATTTATTTGTTTAGAAGGATCACCACAGAGTTACCATTAATGTAATATTAATTATCATTACTAAATGATAGCTCTGTAAATAGCTTGATAACCAATGTGCAACCTTTCTGCTTATTTCAAGCATCTACTGTATCTATAAAACTGTTTAAAACAAACTGCATTTTTCAGACTTTAAACAATCACCACACTTGCGTGTAAGCAAAACAAAATCTCTTAATATTTCTCCTGAATTAAAAAAAAAAGAAAAGAAAAAGAAAAAATCTGGCAGCATCTTGTTTCTTTAGCTTTAGTTCTTCAGGAGACCTTACTTATTTAACTCTGAGGCCTTTTCAAAAGACTTTTTCAAAATTTGAATGATAAAAAAAGCTTTTCCTTCTGCCGATACCTGACCAACAGGTGGCGCAAATGAGCAAACTCTCCTGAAGCCAGCTGCGCGCTAGGCTTTGACATTTCTAATAATTTTCATGTTAGGGTAAGGTGAGCTTTCTCCGACCTGAACCAAAGACTAAAAAAGAGGATCCAAAGAGTTTTCAACCTTAATTTAAGGAGTGACCCGAGAAGAGAGTTTCAGAGACTGACTTAGGAGAGAGGTTTATTGCTTTGCTTTTAAGAAGAGAAAAGGTAAGAAACCGAATCATATCTCTTAAATTCAACTAGATGTCCTTTATTAAGTTTAGATAAATACTTGTTTTGATAGTCACTGGGTTGATTTGCCACAAATTTCAGTATACTATCATTTATTTCTTTTAATGTTTATAAAGTTTCTATCCAGTTAGTTTCACTTTCATTTTTGAGTAGCTCCTCCGAGAAAGTACACACCCGGTGAAACCGGTGTCTAATAGGCCAATCATAAATTGGAGCTGTGATTTAATGTTATTATTATATTATTATTATTATTATTTTATTTTTTTTACAACTTTCCAGATTCCCAAAAAAGAAAAAGAAAATAGGCCTAACAAATTTCACTTATATTTTAAGGTAAAGCTTAAAGTCTCATTAAGAATATTAATTTATAATCCTGTATCTTACTCTATTAATTTACTGATCACTACATCACACAGGTTCACTAGATGTTTTGCTCTTCAACTTTTTTAAAAGTAGAAACTCAAAGTAACATGTTCTAGCTGTCAGAAGATTAAAAAGAATGCCATACCTTGCATACAAAAATGACTGCATTTTTTTCTTTTTGTCTTTTTTTCATAAAAGTTTTAAGACTTATCTATATGTTGACCAGAAAATGTTACATAACCTGCTGTTTAACTGTTCATTCCATAGCACACAACGTTAACATCTCACAGCTTATCCTTCATTCCATCTCTTAATGTTTGCTGTGGGATTTCTAAAGAGAGTATAGCGTGCAAACACGTCAGACACACATTTTGCTTACATTTAGAATAGCAGCCACCAGCAAAAGTTTATAGAAAAAGTGTCACACAATGTAAACCTTAGAAAAGTGTAAAAAAAAGTAAAAATAACAAAATAAAAAAAAAATTTATAAAGTGAGAATTTTTGCTTAATTTTCAGGTCAACAAGGTAGCGATCTAAGCATGTTCACAAGTTTGTCTGAGGTAAGTTGAAAATTTTAAATAAACTGTATTTGTCTTCAGAAACAATGGGCAAATTCCATTAAGAAATAGGTAATTACAATTTTACATTAAATAAAACTGTAACACATCTATTTAATGTCAAAGAGATAAACATTTACTAAGTAAATATTTTGGCTAAAAAAAGACATAACAGTGACAGCTTTCCAGCTTGTAAGGCTTTAGGAACAAGGGTGATTCAGAAAACACAGCAATCAAAATGAATCATGGTAATATGAAATATAACTTAAACATACTGTAGAAAATCTAAAAAGCAATAAAATTCAAAACATTCATTTTTACTTTCAAAACAGTAAAAATGTAAATAAACTAAAAAGAAAACAGTGTATACTATGCGCATATTATGCTCTACATAACATAATAGTATGTTATGTAAAAAGCCATTTTACATATAACATAGTATAATATGTATTAGTATACAAGCGGTGATTTCTCATTGAATACTAGGGAGGCTAAGCCTCCTCTGTAATTTTCCTAAAATAATTGTTTACATATGGATGGTTAAACTCCTTAAAAGTGGTCTTTAAACTGAATTAAATGTGGCTAAAATGCGCAAAATTTCATGAATATTTTGCACATTAATCAGCTGTCTAGCCCGCTCTTAGATGCAGTCTCCCTTTTGCTCTGAAGCAGGACGACGCTGCCTGTCAGTCTCTGTGCAAAATTTCCACTAAGGTTTGAGCCTCTGTTCTTTGAAGCAACAAGTTATAAAATAGGGACCATGTTTGATAGCATGGAAAACCCCATCACTTCCTGTTGGGCTTCTTATGTAATCTATGGAGCAGGGGTAGCTGCTTGATGCTGATTGGCAGAACACACTGAGATTTTTGAGTGACAGTGGCTAGACAAAGGGAAGAATTTTCTCATGACTCATGAAAAGAAAAAAAATATTATTCAAACAAAAGAACAGCCGTCTTGCTCTAACCTCTTGCCATTTTGTATTTTTCTAAGCACTTCACAGCAGCTATAATCATCCATTGAACAGACAACATTGAAAATAAATGACAAAATCCAACTGTGATTGCACCATTTTAATCTTGTTAATGTTTCGTTAGTTTCTTTATGTTTTGGATTGATTAACCAGCAGCTGCAACTGTAGGATACACATCTGATAAGCATGCTTGTGGTGGTGTTTTCTGACTTTGATTAAGGAAGCCTCTGCTAAGTATTAAGAAGATTTCACATGTCCATATTCCTATTTTTCCTGGTCATCATTTGTATAATTTTGATTATGAAGAATGTATTTCAGATATCATAAATACACATTCAGTCAAGCTTATACTTGTAAATGTCAAAACAGCCACTTAAAATGTCTAAAATCAGTAGATGTATAAAACTTCGTTTTTATAAATAAAATTTTTGTTTTTACTTTGTAAAATTCAGTTTTTGTTACAAATTTTCAATTTAGAAAACATGTTATCACATTTCCATCTAGGAATGTCATTTTGACTGGGGATAGCGCTATTCTAGTGATCTAAAAATAGAAAAACAGAGAGGAGAGGCCTTTTAATAAATGTAAAAATGGCCTGCCATACTGTACCAGACTACATGTAAACGTTTGTATTAACTTGAGCAGCAATCTTCTCCTTCACCATCTTCATTTCCTTTGCAGCTGTGGCTCTGTCTCTCTGTCTTTTAAACACATTATCCATTTTTACTAAAACTTCTGCATTACAATCTCTAGTTCCAGTGGGGGGAAATCGGCACTTTCTGTTGCCTTTCGTCACATCTTCTCTTCTGAGTGGACCTACTTAGAGATAGTTAAACTAACTCACAGCAGTTTTATGAAACTGAAAACCCAGTTTCCAAACTTTTGCTAGATCAATTCAGAGCAAAGGATTTCAGTTTGTTTTAACCTGCTTGTTTAAACAGACCCCAGTGATTTCTGATGCTTTTGATGGTCCCTGTTTCATCCTCTGAGGCAGTGAGAATTTCAGTGCAATCCACAGGCTCAAATTTGGCTCCTTTTCAACAATGATGCAGAACTTATCAAATTGGCCTCTGTCATGTTCTTTAGGATGAACTTGAGTTACTAGACAAAAAGTCAATTTGAAGCAACTTGTGGCTTCAAATGATAGAAGGAAAAATAGTTTTCCTCGTTTGCTTAGGCCAATATTTTTTTTTACAGTTTTTTTTGTCTGCCTTGGCATGCATGTTATTGAAAGCAGAGTTAAAACGCAACGACATATTGAGTTGTCATTGTCACAATAAGCTGGTATGTTCGATGTAGCAAGTATTATTTTTATTCATTTTTGTCAGCATAACTGTTGCACATATCTATCTAGTTTTTTTAAGAAGAGCAAATCTTTATGTAATGTATTAAAATTAATTTTTTAAATTTATAATAAAACAGGATAATTGTTTTTCCACATTACTCATATTTCTTTATAAAAGAAAGGCGATCTGAAAAGAATCAGTTCATTTGCCAGTCAATCTAAATATATGTATTTTTGACCAATAAAACGTGTTAGACCTTTAAAAGACCAGACAAAAGACTGTCCTGTTTTATGTTCTCTTCTACCAGCTTTCTCTTCTCCGTTTCAATTTGCATGTTTTCAAAACAAAAACACGGCTTCATTGGGCTACTGTATAAAGCCTTGAACTCTCTTTTATAACTTTTTCTGGAATTCTACTACCTTTCCTCCCCTACTTTTGTATCCCCCAGAAAGTTGTTTTCCTTTTGAAGCAGGCTTATACAAATATGCTTCATGTTCTCGTGCAGCAAACAAGATTTTTTTGTACGGTAGTAACTTGCAAAGTTAAAACTGCATGTTGAGACGTAAATGGCATGTACTTATATAGCACCTTTATTCAAGTGAGGAGACTTGACCAAAGTGCTTTACACTACATTCATTCACCCATTTATGCACACACTCACGGCGGCAAGCTACATTGTAGCCACAGCTGCCCTTGGGCTCACTAACAGAAGTAGGGCTGCCATACACTGGCACATCCGGGACCACCATGTCTTGCCTAAGGACACAACGACACTGAAAGTCGGAGTCTGGTTGAACCATCAACCCTTCGATTTTAGGGCAAACTCCTACATCCAACGCCACTGTCGCCCCACTTTAAGCTAGATGACTTAAACTACACACTAGACTCACCACAATTGTGTTTCATTTCTGTGAGTTTATCTTGTTCCTCTGATTTGACCTCTCTGTCTCTCTTCACATCCCAACATGTTTTCTTTTGTAAGCGGACAGCACATTCTTTGAGTTTGCAGAGGAGTAATATCAGACCCAGTCAGATGTTCATTAGAGTTTTCACTTGCAGGAAGAAACGGTTCCTGATTGTGTTGCTTTTAGCTTACGGGGCTCTGTAGCCCCTAGCTGAGCGGAGTAGTAAGAAGAATCTTTGACCAGGGTGAGATGGGTCTGTAGGATTTTTTTTTTTCCTGCCAGTTTTCTGGCTCTCAAAATGTATAGATTTTTATTGAAGGAATTGGTGCAAAAAGTACATCCTCTGCTAGGCCATTTTATTGATGCTGTCAGTGTGGGGCTCCCATATCAGGTGCAGGATATAGTGATGTCCAAAACATGTAAGATGTAATCACATTAGAAAAAGGGCTGTTGAGTATGGTGATAGGGGGTATAGTCACTTTTTATTTTTATATGTGAAATAAAATGAAATTAAGGTTTAACAATTTCCAAGCTGGGCTTAATATATTCCCAACTAGCCTAGAAATACATTACTGTTAGGTTAATTGGCTTCTCGAAATTATCCTTAGATGTGAAAGTGTGTGTGTGTGTGTGTGTGTGTGTGTGTGTGTGTGTGTGTGTGTGTGTGTGTGTGTGTGCATGGTTGTTTGTCCTGTTTGTCTCTGTTTTGCCTCTCACCTATAGAAAGCTGGATATAGGCACCAGCACCCCTCGCGACCCCCGCTTGGGATAAAGCGTGTGAGAAAATGGATGGCTGGATAGTCTAGAATATTATTATCTAGGTTTAAAAGAGTATGACAACTGTATATTTTTAAGTGGGTTAAAGACGTCTGACATAGCTTGATGTGTCTATGACAATGAATGACCAGCCGAAACCTACTATTTAATGCTACCCCCTGCCTATCTACAGCTTATGCAGGTTTTTGCTATGCTAACACCTAATTCCGGCTGCTGTCTGTGCTAACAGACAGCAGAAGAAGTAGGCAATCCAGTGAGCCATCAGCCTAGGCATGGTGGTCACCAGCCTCTACATAGCTAATACAAGTGGGTTCCCTACCTCTCTCCTACATCAGATTAGTAGCTGTTTTTCTGCACGAGGCTGTTCATGTAGTTAAAAATGTTCCTAGTTGCATTCTGTGGGAAATTCTTTCCACTCGGATGCCAGGCTGAGGTAGCTTGATAAACCAGACTAAATGTGAGATTAAATGTGAAATTTAGTCTGGCCCCGATGATTGAGACATCGGAAGATTGTTGATGAAAACAACCCATTGTCTTTTAAACCACTGTCTGTGCCTATTGGCCAATGCTCTGACCAATGAGCGCAACTGGCTGCACGACAGAAAGCTGGCTGGAGAGTGTAAACAAACAGCCTGTCAATAAAACGGCGAATACGTCCTTCTTAAAAATGATTGAGTTTAGAGCCTCTTCCTGCTCACGTTTCAATGAAAACCCCAAGTCTAATCCTACCAAAACTGATTCCAAAGCTGAGTCAAACGAGAACTGTTGAATAGTTGTTGCCATCTTCCTTGTTATGCTTTGTGCAGCATCATGCAGGTTTGTCGTCATGCCCTCAAAACCCGGCTAGCTTTGCATCCAGACATTCTGGCCCACCAGTTCTAGGGCCTGGGGCATTGATTGAGGCCAGACCAAACTCGCAGGTAAAAATTATTTTGGCCGCTGGCAAGTAATTACCATATCACAGGAGTCCCTGTAAAGTAATCATGAGGATTTTGTATTTCAGATGGATGTTTCTGGCCAAGAAGCAATGAGTGAGCCATCTGCTGGAGCTGGTGTTCGAGTAGAGATTGGTTTAGGAACCATTGAGAATGTGCAGGTGAAAAACTCTGCATGTCAAAGCTGTATAAACAAACAACCATATAATTATTTCAAAATATTTCAGATGTGTTAGTTTAAATATGATATCATTTATTCTCTTCCAAATTTAGCAAAAAAAAATTTTTTTTTTATTTCTTTAATATTTCTTTTTTGTCTCCAGGTGGATGCCATTGTATCACCGATGGTTGGCCATGATCCTGCCTCTACTCGCATTGGAAAAATTTTAAACAATGTCACTGGTGGTCAGTTGGAAGTTAAGTTTTACCAGGAAGCGGGAGAAGCAACTCTTCCAAGTGAAACAGTTGTGGTTGAAGGGTTACCTGGTCTTAAATGTAAAGCAGTAATTTTCCTCAACTTACTCTGCTGGGATGATAACCAAAATGGATCAGCAGTCCAGGTAGAATATGTTTAAAACTTTTTCTTCACCCAAATTTAGACTTAACTTCAACTTCTTCTTAACTGAAAACCTCCTTTGCTTCTGACAGGCACTTAGACAGGGAATCAAAAGGATTTTTGCCATATGTAATGTCAGAGGCTACAGTTCAGTCACTCTTCCAGTGCTTGGAACTGGTGTTTTATTGCGTTTTCCACCCAAAATAACTTCCTTAATTCTTCTTGAGGAAGTTGGTATATATGGACAAAACCAGATCAGCAGATCAGGCTTCCTTGTTCGAGTCATTATTCACCCAAAGGACAAAGAATCAAGTCAGGTTAGAGATATATTACTACTTTTGTTTTAAATTGAATGTTTACACCACATTTAGTTTTTATAAGTGTAATAATGGTTTTTGCTTTTCCTTTACAGGCATTTTGGTCTGCTCAGGGGATATTGCTTCAAAGAGGGTTCATTAACAATATTATTCCGGATCAAGGTACTTTTACCAAACCTTATCTATGCAGGGTTTTATTTGACCAATAATGGTGAAATGATGATAATGCATGCATGCACTCTTTTCAAAACAAGTTAGGATTAATTACCTTCTCTCCTTTTCTGTGTATTTTTCAAAAAAAAAAAAGATGCAGTGGGAAGTGTGTGTGTGTGTTTGTGAATTGCTTCAAAGCAGCTCATCAATTGGCTTTAATTTAGGCAAATCATTTTCAAAGGCAGACGAAATTATGTAGTGATGAATGTTGTGGTCGAAAAAATTATTTACTATCATATCCCTTCTAATTATGACTCTAATATTGATTTATGAGTGCTCATTTTTCTTACAAGGCTATGAAGTGTCTAGGTGAAAGGGGTTGTGGACAGTTTTAGAGGAGAGGCTCCCTTAGACCCAAGGTTCTTTCATCATTACACTATTTTCTTCGACCGTCTTTAACTTGTTTCTTTTAAATGAATAAGACAAACAGCTTTTTGCAGGCTTTAAGTAGTTAGTGAATTCTAAAATTTGTGTTAAATAAGACTTACACATCTCTTTTCCTCATGCAAATAGTTTTCCTTTGCAACTGCTTGTAGATTCCATAAAGGATATTACAAATAGTTTTATTTTTTATGTTAACTATCTCTCATCTTAGAGCACTCTCCTGGTTGTGTGGCTATATTTTAATGACATTCAGTAAGTGTTTTTTTTTATGTGATTGGACTTGAACTGGCCTCTGTCCGGTAAACTAGAGGGGCTTTTTTAACTGCATCTTAACTGAGGGAGACTCTCTTATGCCTTAAGATGTGCTTTAAGAACTTAGAGCTATCTAAGTAAAGTTTTTTTTCTGGTGTTTCTATAAAAATTGTCCTAGCAGAATTCTGAAGTGGCAACCTTTAAAGTGTTACAACCGTAAATTATATTCTTCAGTTTGTAAGCTTGTGATTTCCCTCTTCCAAACAGGTTGGTAACTTTCAGCTTTCTGGCTTCATTAATGGCACCCTGTTGTGAAACCAATAGTTTGCAGGAGTCAGAAACCAATAAAATTTAAAATGAACTTTTGTCTTACCTACAATTCTTACTTGAGTAGTGATCTATTTGTATTGTCTTTAACATACATATGACTTAAAGCACTAGAAACTACAGACACTGGCATGGAAGCAGAACAATTCACACTTTTCAAATCAAAAAAAAAAAAAATTACTTTTACACCATCAACATACAGTGAGTGTACAATGTAGTATTAGGGCCAGGCTAGAGATGTGGTTTTTTTTTTTGTTTCTTTTTAATTCGAGAATAAAGTCGCAATATTATGATAAGCCTGTCATAACGGATTAAAATTTTTCAGGTTTGGATTTAAACATAAATATTACATTACAGGAATAGTTGCAACGAGAAACTAATAAAATAAGGAGAATAAAGTTGTAAAATATTTCCTTGTGATGTGCTGGCGACCTGTCCTGGATGTACCCCGCCTCTTGCCCATAGATAGCTGGAGATAGGCAACAGCACTGTCACTACCCGATCCCTCCCAGAAGCACGATCCATCCTGGGCCAACAGCTCATTTGCGCATGCGCATGCAGATTTACATCCGGGTTGGCCATCGATTTTATTTTCTTAAAAAGACCTAAATGACCTTTCCCTCCCCAAAAATCGTAGGTGTATAAATAATTTAAATAATAATTTAAAATCATTTCTGTTTTATCAGTCATCTCTGCCTGATAAGCACTGGAAATGGGATCCTACGCTACTTCCGGGAGCTAAATTTTCGGCTTTGGATTTAAAAATAAATCTAGTCTTTTTGAGTTTTAGGTTTTCTTTCTGTTTTAGCATTATGGTATATAGTGAATCTAAAGAAAGACACAAATAAATTGCAGATAAACATGGTTTAATCATATTTTGCCGGACTGCTCTGAGCATGTTCAATGATGACATCAGAGAAGCAGTTTAACCAAGTAAATGTAAAAAGCATCAAAATTGTCTCACCAAAGTCCTAAAACATTTTTTTTAAATATGTGTATTAGCATCCCTTAGAGAGTTAAGGATAGAAATAAGTAATTTGATTACCATAATTACGTTATTTTTGGACACCTGGATGTATATCTGTGCACGCATGCAGGTCGTGCTTCCGGGACAGATTGGGTAGTGACAAAAACCTCTCACTTTGCTAGGGATAGGCGTGAAGGAAAATGGATGGATGGATGGAAATCGTAACATTACCAGAATGAAATCCTAATATTATGAGAATAAAGTTGTATTTACAAGAAGCACTTCTAATCAGGAATGTCGAGCATCATGTGAAGTTATACCTTCGCATCGGTTTAAAAATTAAGGAAATCTTTTAGCAAAGCAGGATCAAATTGGGCCGTATGTCAGGTTGCTGATTGGTGGAGTTGGTCGGCCATCATATGCTGGTCGGAACTCCAACTTTCTTTCTGAAACGGGTTGTGGTATGATGACTTTATTCTAGTAAATGTACAACTTTATTCTCGTAACTGTATGACTTTATTCCCATAAATCTACCACTTTGTCCTCATAATGTCATGATTTTATACTTTTTTTATATTACAACTTTGTTCTCATATTATTGTGACTTCATTCTCAGAATGTTGCAACTTAATTCTCATATTAAAAAAAAAATCTCTAGCCTGGCAATAGTACTCCGTTGTAGTGAGAATATAGCAGTACAGTTAACTAGTATATAATAGATTTTTTAATTCTTTATTTTTATGTAATTGTCTTCCACTTACAGCTGATAAAAACAAAACATATAAGATCAAGCTACTACATCAGACAAAAAAAATAAAACATACAGGTGTTTGCTAAATAAAACATATGCATAAACATGCTAGGAATTAATATCACATACAACCGATATTGTCATGTAATCTATACTATTTCCTATTGTGATCTTTCTATAGAGAGTTTTGCATTCAATGATTTAGATCTTAATGTTTCCAGCTATACTTTAGAACTACAAATTCAAATATATTTTGGAAATTGGAGATGCTATGTTAAATTAAACCACAAAACCAAGAAGATAGAAAACCACACCAAACCAGCTGAATTAAGCTAATATTATGTGCAAATAATAAGGAAATTTAAGCTTTTTTTTTTGTTTTGCTTCCACCTGTGCAGGTTCCTTTTACCAGTGTGTGTCTTTAACTAAAGATGAGATGACAGCCATGATGGGTGGAGTCAAACTTCAGATCCTCTGCGGCGACATTGTAAATGAAAGAACAGACGTTATTGTCAACACAACCAACTTTGAAAACTTATGGTTTGGTAATATTTGAATGCTGGCCAATACACATCGAAAAATAAAAATGGTTCTAGCGGTGTATTTTAATAACATTTTTATTTGGTCTATTGTTCTCTAAACTCCAAAGGTGTCTCCAAAGCCATTCTGACAGCAGCAGGCCCAGCTGTCCATGCTGAATTGACACAAGGTAAATATTCCACGAAAATATCAGAAATATGTATTTATAAGATGTTTATAGCCTATGCATCTTTGTAATAATTTCTTTCAGTTTTGGTTATGTATATTAAAAACCTTCTAATTTTAAGTGAATAAAAATGAAAATGCTTTAATGCAGTTGCAGTGCAAAGTTCCAGCTTTATCCTAGTGGGTAAAACAACAAGATACATTAAAATATCATGAAAATAAAATGTTTTTTAAGTAAATTCCTACATTTTAGACAAATTAATTGACTAAAATTAAAAATACAATTTGTATTCTAAATTTAAACAGAATTTTATATTGGTTGAAACCATAGTAAGGGAATAATATTATACTTCGGTCCATGAGCTTTTCCATGGCTTCTCCATGCTTTCTTTGGCCATTATTCTGGTAGAGGTTTGTCTTGTTGTTATCTATCCAAAGGAGGATTCGTTTCTCAGAACTGTCCTGGCTTTTGCAGAGTTTTTTTTTTTTTTTTTTTTTTTTTTTTGTAATGTCCAATCTGAAATTTCTAATGAATTTTAGAAGAGGCTTGCATATTGTATTGAATCCTCGATATGTGCCTCTAAGCAGTATTCTTTCAATGGTAGACTTAGATCAGCCTACTCCCTGTAGAGGGTTGTTCTCTTAGTTGGCTCTTGTGAACAAGTTTCTCTTCAACATGGAAATTCTGTTATCTTCTTTGGAAATCAAGGACCTTTAGCATTATTGAGAAAATCAGCTTTTTTTATTCTTTTTCGGGTTGTAAATTTAGTCACTCCAAACTTTGAGATTATTTGTTTGTTTTTCTTCCTTTTGTAGAGCTCTCTCAACCTCATGTTTTCTGTAACACCAACATCTTCTAAATGCAACGACAAATCAACTTCAGACTTTGTATCCACTTAATAGATAATAACTTACAGAAAAAGCCCACTTCTACTTTTAAAATAGTAATTTTTGACACACACATGTATATATATATGGATAGATAGATAGATAGATAGATAGATAGATAGATAGATAGATAGACAGACAGACAGACAGACAGACAGACAGACAGACAGACAGACAGACAGACAGACAGACAGACAGACAGACAGACAGACAGACAGACAGACAGACAGACAGACAGACAGACAGACAGATATAGTTAGGTCCAACGGGCTTGTTTAGCAGGGTAACATTAAAGGAGACCACACAAGGATTAAATGAAAATTTAATTTATAAAATTATATTAAAATAATAAAACCTGAAAAAGAGTACCTGAAATGAGAAACCGAAATAGACTAATGCCAAAACAAAAAAATTACCAGAATTAAGCAAATGAAAAAAAAAGAAGAATTAAGAAAATGAAAAACAAACCTAACAAAACCAAACCCTAAGATATAAACCTAGGGCGAAATGGGGTTCTGAGGAGGGAGAGGAAAAAAGCATAGGAGCTTTAAAGTATCAGAGCACAAATCAGGACAAACATAACACCTGCAGAGGGCTTGTCTCCTGAACTCTACAAGGAAAAATACAGAGACCCACTGCAGCCGCAACAATGTTCATGTATATACTAAGTTAGTCTCTCTTATTTGTTTTTAGTGGGTATTCCAGAAGACTTGATTTGCACAACAGCAGCTGGTAAGCTTGGGTGCAAAGAAATAATTCATGCCAGGTTCAAGCGTCAAACTCGGAGGATCCGCAACACTTGCCAAAAGATCCTTAAGCTCTGTGAAGGCAAAGGATTCAGCTCAGTGGCTTTCCCAGCTATCAATACAGGTTTGTGTGATTGGTTTAATCAGTCGGTTTTATTAAATCCTTACTTGCTTATAGTAGTTAATTTGTACGGTGAAAACAATAAAAAAAAAACATTAGGGTTTAACTTAATAATAACTTTATAGAGCATGCATGTAGCATTATCAGGCAAAAAGACAAACAAACAATGAGACCAATTTGTATCATGTTATAAAAAATTACTTTAGCATTTGAATTTATATCTGTCTTTTCATGCCTCCAGGACAGGCTGGTATGGACTTTGTGGAATCTTGTAAAGCAATGCTGGATGGTATGGCTTCAGCTATTAGGGACATAAATCCTAATTCTCTCTCACTGATCCGCATTGTCATCCTGCAACAACCCGTCTATCAGGCTTTCAGGTTAGCCATCATACTGTGATGTCCTGCTAATAATTATGCATTTTTTGATAATGTGATGTTGTGTTGTTCGACAGATCAGAGCTGGAGAGTCGCTGTCTACAGGATGTTCAAAGCTGCTTCAGTCTAAAAGGTTTGCTTTACTTTTTCTTTAGTAAATAATTTTGATATGAATTTAACTTCCTATCAGGTTATAAGTACAGCATAAAAAATCAGCAATGATAGAATTACAAAGTATCCTTGAATCACAAAATTAGGTCATTGTATGTGTCACAATATTGATTTGAAAAGGTTATTTACAGTGCTTTGCTATGAATTTAAAAGAAAGAAACGTCTATCTATTCATCAGCTCCCAACTATTGAAATTGTGATTGATAATTCATCCCAAAGAAACCCCTAAACTTCCTTGTCCAATTTTAGAAACACTAATGCTGCGTCGCTCTTCATCTGAGTGTCTGACACAAAGGATCAGTAGAAACACAGTTTTTAAGGTTTGAATTATGTTGGCCAAGAGTCGGCCACAGTCTTGAGCATGGATGTGAATTATGGAACATCTATACCAAGTCTAAGTGTATAGTCCAGACTTAAATTATTGAGGCTTCCCTTCAGATTTCAGCCCTGTATGGGACTCCATCTTTGCCCAAAAAGGTGTCAAGCTTTGCTGTGTGAAATATCAGGGTAGTCTCACTCTCAATTCATAAAATATTGTTGAATGTTCAACCCTCCTGCACACCAGATACTTACATGATTTGGATAGCCCTCTTGTCATTTATTAATTGTTCAGTTTAAATGGGAGGTCAGGTTAAGAAAGAGTCCTGGTGGTTCTAAACTTCTTTAAAAAAAAAAAAGAGAGAGAAGAAGCTGTAACAACTGAATAACTAAATGGATGTATAAAAAAGAGCAAAGATAATGCTTTGTAAAAAAATCTATTCAAGTAGCGGGTTAGGGAACTTGGGATACGATGCTTCTATTTAAAAAGAAATTTTAAAAATGTTTCCACAATCCACGGCATTTTATATCTCCTATTGTAGGGGACAGAAAAGGACCAATGAAGAAAATACTGGAAATGTATTTGGGAATCTCAATGACTCAATCAACAGAACACCAAACAGGAATATTGCCCGATTCTGAGCCAGGTTGTGTGGCTTCAACTTTGGCATTGGAATTACCGGCACACTGGGAACCAATGAAGGGAGAAGACTTTAAGAAAGTTGAGTTACAGCCTGATTCTCCTGAGTATCAGGAAGTGGCCGTGGGTTTCTGTAAAGCTAACAACTACAACATCCACAAAGTAAGTTTGGTTACACATAAACACACATGTTTTGTCATACTATCCTTGTGGGGACTTGCTATTGACTTAGATAAATTTATCTCTCATTTCCATGGTTTAACCCTTACCCTATACCTAGCCATTACTAACATCTTATCTAACCCTAAACCTAACAGAAACTAAAATTATACTTTAGTCCTAAACCTAAAGGTCACCCGAAGAAGAGAACATTTCTCTTTAAATCCCAGCAATGTAACATATATCTGACAAATTGTCCCCACCAGGTAACAAAGACATAGCCACGCACACAACAGAAATCAGAAAACTAAGACAACAAAAACAAAATATGACTTATGGTTACTTTTGTCTTTTGGCTCAGATTGAGCGAATACAGAATCTCTACCTGTGGCATGCCTTTACCATCTGTCGGTACCGTATACTCTCTAAGAATGGAAAAGAAGAACTGGGTGAAAAGTTCCTCTACCATGGCACATCTGTGGCATCATGCAACTCCATTGAACGAGATCGATTTGACAGAAGTTATGCAGGAAAACATGGTAAGCCTTGAAAAATAAGGATTTTTCCTTTGATCATAAAGACGTGTAAAATGACAAAACACAATCGGCTTTAAGTAGATTTTTTAACATTCCGCTTTTTTTAACAGCTACTCTCTATGGAAAGGGGGTATACTTTGCTGTCGACGCAAATTACTCAGCCAACACTTACTCCCTCCCAGACACATCAGGCCTAAAACGTCTCTATGTTGCTCGTGTTCTTACTGGCCGCTACACAGTTGGTAATCCCTCAATGAAAACCCTCCCTCGTCGAGGAACAGAAGCTACTGACTGCTTTGACAGCTTGGTAAATAACCAGGAGAACCCCTCCATCTTTGTTATCTTCCATGATGACCAGGCCTACCCGGAGTACCTCATTACCTTTAGCTGAGTAAGAATGAAATAACTCTGATTATGATAGTTTCTTAATAATGTCATGTCAAAAATGAAAGCTTTGATTTTTGACTAACTTGTTTTAATGAGGCTCTTTAAAATGTCCCAAATTAACTACATACTATATATTTCCAACATTCCAACAACTGGCTGCTGTAGCAGCTTATTAGTGTTTTTTTTTCTTTTCTTTTTTTTCTTAAAGATGTTTTATTATCACATCAGTAGTTATCTGATTGGTTCTCACCTGTTTCCTCCAGCCCTGTTAGTACCATTCTGGTCCCTGACTGGAAATTGGGCTCTGTCCAGTCCTTTCCAGACTAATATGTTGAGTATGCAATAATTAATCCTTTCTGTGCTGGGTGTATATAAGTTGTATTCTGAATATATTTTAGGGTTACTATTCTGGAGATTTTATTTTAATGAATATTTAAGCCACTAGTGTTTTATTTATTGCTGGTTGTTTCGTCGAGAGCTTAGCTTTCCCCTTTGTTGATATTCTATTTTTGTTTTGACCCGAAACCTTTCTAAATAAAAACTTTTAACCAGAAGTTACCTTCTTGATATTAATTTTGTTGTCCCTCCCTCATAATAAGCGTTTACATGTAAGGGGTGAATGGAGCATTTACGGATTTGCCTAAATACAAATACCTGAAGATTGAGCACCAGTGTTGTTGAGTAACTCCTGTACATGACATTAAAAACATTACAATCTTCTGACAACTTGTGATGTATTATGATTCTTGAGCTTTTCTATTGAGGTCCAAACTTCAGTTTTGTTTTTGGTCAGCAAGAGAAAGTTCTGGGTTTAATTTGTTCTAAGGATCTGTTGAGTGGTTGGATAGGTTTAGAGCCACCTGGAGAAAATGTGATATAAAATTATAATAACTCATCATATTACTTACAGTATAACCGGGGAATAGTGGTAGCAACTTGATATTAAATAGAAGAGGTCCTTGGATTGAACCTTGGTGTTAAATCACATGTGGCTCCTTTCTGCTCTAAAAATAAGTCCCCTATTGTCACAAAGAAGCTCCTGTCCTTTAGGTAGGAGATAAACCAGTTCAGTACTGTTTCTGAGAGTACGACCCCATTCTTCTGTTGCTGATGTCCAGTAGAACCAGCACTGTGGTTCTGCCATAATCTGTCTTTGTGTGGTTAATGTAGAACAGTTTGAATAGGTCAGCTGCAGTGCGTTGCTGATCTGGGAAGCAGGGTTCAAATAATAACAAAGCAGCTTGTCATTCTCAAGAAGCTATTTAACTTTAAAAAAATAGTTTTTTCAAAAATCTTTCTGATGACTGGGAGGGATTAGTCTGTAATATTCCAGTTGTGATTTATCCAGGTTTTTTTGTTTTTTTTTAGCAGTGGGTTGTTAACTGCTGTTTTTAGAGTCAGGGAGAAAACACCTGACGAGAGGGATAAGCTTGCTATTAGAATCAGGTCAATGACCGGCAGAACTTTCTTAAGGAAGGTTGTAGAAATTATATCAAGACAGCAGGATGAGCTTAGTTTAAAAAAATAAAAAAAATAGTTTAGTTTGTAAAATACAGCCATTTCTCTGCCTTTGTTATGTTGGGGCATAGCATCATTGTTAGGCGCACTAGAAATGAGCAAATTAATGCTCTAATTTTCGTAATTTGCTCTGTAAAAATTTGGTAATTAATTGCAGGCCCTGATAGAGTGGAGTTGAAGTGGTAAAATCACAGGGGTTTTTGTCAACTTGTGGCAAATAGGCCACAGGTTTATGTTAATGTTTTTGTGAACAGCTAATATACTAGTGACAACTGATCAGCCTTTTTTTACAGATTCAGAAGACGTGAAATCATGTTTTACGCCTTTGAAATTCAGGCTTTTGACAAAGGTTTTTTTTTTTTTTTTTTTCTTAAAAGTGAATAGTTTATCAATTGGGATTTAATGCAACTTCTGCATTTTGTTAGCAGCCGACCGGCTGAAACCAACCTCACCTTCTGGGCTTGGGCTGAACTATAAGACCAAGTTAGTGACTTAAACGTCCGTTGTCATCCTCTCCCAGAAAGACGTGGTCACTAACCTGCTGTCTCCTCCTGCAGAAGTAAATGCTTTAGATGCTGACACTGTAAACTGCAATTCCTTTTCCAATAAAGTTTATTAGTCATAACTGCAGTGAACATCTATCTAAAGTTTAATTGCAGTTAATGTTGAACAATGGAGTGGAGAAAGAAGTCTTTTTGACTTTGTCATTTAGAAAAATCTATTTAGTAATTAATAAGGTATACCAAGAAGATTAGGAAGTCTCTTAAAAAAAAAAATAAAAAAGTTATTTTAGCTGCCAAAGAGGCTGTTATTTGGTTTGTGTTGATTAGCTGTATGCAAAACAAAAAAATAAAAGACAGACTTTTAGTCCAGCTTGGATGGGTATGAAGGAAGGTTTGATTCCGGTGATGACGCAAAGCACCATCCAGAAAATGCCAGGGCTTGAACCGTCAATCCTTCGATTTCAGGGTAAACTCCTACATCCAACGCCACTGTCGCCCTATAAATACACTTAAACATTTTAAGATCTAAAAAACTTCCTGTTTGTACAATATGGTGAACTTCTGTCTTGGAGTTCCTAAATGTGCAGACACCTGTGACGCCTTAAACCAGTAATTCTTAAACCTGTTCCTCAAGCATTATAGCACTGCATATTTTAGATGGCTCCCTGGTGCTGCACGCCTGATGCAAATATCTTTCTGTCTTCCATAAAAGCCTTCAGAAGTATGTTAATTATGCAGTTATATACGTCAGGTGCCTGGCAGTGAGAACATGCAGATTGAGAATCACTGTCACAGGGTGTGTTCAATTTCAGCAGGTGCATCCTCCAAGGTCTATCAAAACTTTAGTTAAGCATGTAGCTCAGTCACATGTTTCAGATAACTTCAGTAACTTGAAATATGAAGTGAGGTATTTGTATTATGTAACTGTCACTATGACGTGGATTCTTGTAAAAACAAAGCTTTGCTACTGTCCTTTCATTCTCATCCAACCCCGGAGGATGGGAAATGTGTATAGGGAGATCGGAATGCTTTTGTAGGGGGAAACAGATTTGGAATGTCTGGATGTTAAACATCAAGGATATGATTTTAGTGACTCACAAACCACTGTCTGTCAAATAGGGGAAGCAAAACTATGTCTTCTCTAGAGAGATATTTAATCTAGTTTGGAACAACACTTTAAAGCACTGAAAGCCACAAAACCTGATGAAGTTAAGATAGTAATGGTGGGGTCTGCAGAGGAAAGGTTAGTGAGTCAATTGCTGTTAAGGAGACACTAGTGATAGAAAGGAAACGTGCCTGTAAAAATGTTTGTGGTGGTTAAGGAATGCTTTTTTAGGAGCTGCAAATAAGGTGAAAGCAGATATATGGGACAAAACCCTGCATCTGCCTTAAGAAAGATCCAGGAAAACTTTACAGAAGTGAGATATGACTTTTTTTTTGTACTGTTCAGCATTATCGCAGCAGAACTGAAATCTGAGTATCATGCTACACTGAACAGATTTTCCAAGGAAAGCATTTTGGGCAAGTAACCCCACTTTACACAAAACTGCTTAATTTATTTATTTTTCTTATCAAACTTTACATGTGTCCAATGATAACGAACCTGACAGAGGGTCAGGGAAGAAAAAAAAGAGCAAAGAAAAAGAACCTGAAAAGGAGAAAGAGAAAACGTGAGACAGCAAAACTATAAAACCAATTTCTTTGTCTGTACAAAAGAAACAGTTTCTTGTGGGCAATCAGGATGGGGAACCTTTAGGACCTCAAATGAACACAGGGAAGACAAAGGAACAAAGAAGTGACAAAAGCAACAACACTTGTAGCATGAACATTGGCGAGCTTCTCAGAAATATGCAGCAACTGTACAGTAGCCTAAGGAGGCATGTGTCTGGGTAACTGATTGGGTGTGCGTGAGTGAGAATGAACACCCATGTGGTGACAGAAGGTAATTGCTTGCATAGTTTCACTGACTGTAGCAATCAGAATAGTCTCTATATCAAACAGAAGTAGACACACAAAAAGCAGACATACAAAAGGAACATAGAAGCAATGATCTATAAATATTTTCTATGTTAGAAAAGGTATTGATCAACTAGCTCCACATGTTGTTCTGCCTAAGAAAGAAAATGTTCACAGATGAACTCTCAGCTGGTTTTCTTGCCAAAAGGGATAAAAGGAGCACATACAGTTAATCACAATTAAAGCTGAGCCCATAGCTAGGGAGTGTTGGCCTTGTGGTTTAGAGCAGTGCGGTCGTGCTCTGTGGAGGTTGCAAGTAACCAGTTCCATCCCCACAGCCTGCACACTGGACTCTCTGAGCAAGACCCTTAACCCAACACTGCTCCTAAGCGCCGCCCAGTGGCAGCCCACTTCTCCCCAAGGGGATTGGTTAAATGCAGAGATACATTTCTCCAGGTACGTTCAATTATTTATATTCTTATTATTATTAGCTATGACTAGGAGAGAAACAGAACTAAGCACTGAAAAACAGGCCCAACCCTTAGATTAAAACTAGAGATAAATTGAAGCAGAATGATAAAACGTTTTTGTTCTCTGTTTTAGGATTTAAGTAAGGAGTAGCCTCGTCTTTACAAGTAATTCAAGACTTTTCATTCTGCTGTCCAGATTTAAATTCTTGAGAATCTTTTCTGCTATCTGATTCCAAAACACAAACAGGGAGACAGTTTCGTCTTGGGACCGTGTTGCAGTGTTAACATTTGCTTACAAGTTGAGAAGCTTGTGTCTGTAGTGCCAGAGACTACTGTTTAGATCCGCACATTCAAATGGTCTACCCTTCTCCTTTGTGAAAGCACCATTTATATTCAATCAGTGCAGATCAAAATCGGAAACTTAGTATTAAACTTAACAAAAAACTGTTTATTTAATACCTTCAAATATTGTCTTTTATTTGAGCAATAAAATACATTTTGCTGCAATGACATTACTAATATTAATACACCATTCACCGGTGTAAATTTGGTTTGTTGCAAACAGAGCTGTCACCATCTTATGTGCCTCTCCACAGAACCCATTCTCAGTCAAAAAGTGACACTTGGTCAATTATACTAAGGATATACCCCTGTCGTCATATGGTGATGTATAGAAGATTGTGACAGAAACTGAATGAAAGATAGTACTTTAATTTACCTTAATTTGGTCTGCCGGCTTCCGTAGCGTCGTGAACGCGCATGTGCGCGCTTTCAGGAAATCCTATACACTACTGTTTATGCTCTAAAAACATTCTAAATGACTTCGTTTCGAGTAAATTCTGGATGCTACCCACTCAGGACACTTGGAATACATTGGACGAGCAGTATGGAGGAATATTGACACGTTTTTTGTGGACTTTTATGGACCTTTCTGCCTCGGGCGCCATACACCTCCATTATTTGAATGTCAGCAGACAGCAAGAAGCCTCCCAGATCTCCAGATGCATTTGAGATATCAAAAAAGTACTCCAGAGTGTTGTTCAGCATGGGGGTGAGTAGAAAATGAAGGCTAATCATGTTTTGGGTGTACTATTCCTTTAAGCTCCTTGTGTTCTCTGTGCTGGTTTGTATTGGCCACCTCCAATTTTTGGTTTGTTTTGTCTCCGGCTAAAGCTTTGACATAAACAGAAAAAGGGTCTATCAAAACAGAACATTAGTGACTGCACTCAGTCCAATATTATTATATTGTTTAAATTTTCTGCAAACCAGAACATTGAATAGCAACAACCATATACCCTAATGTTTGTTCACCACAAATTTCATCACCTGCAATACATTATTTTTCTTCGTGAGAAATGCTATGCATGGGTCAGGGTTACTGATTGTGAAAGAGGAAATTTAAATCTTCAACGCTGTATTTTTGCCATTCCTTGATGTATTATGGCATACATTCAATCTTTAGAAAGTGTTTACTTGTTAAATGTATGACTGTATGGCTTTAAGTCTCCACAGTGTTTAAGTTGTTGTCCCATTACATGAGTCTATTGAGCACAATAAAGTAATACAGTATACTAATAATCTAATATGTTTTGTTTGTCTGTGATCCTAATTTATTTACATCAACTGCAACTGATGAATTATTATTATTTGATTAGTTTTTTATTGTTTACTTGTTTCATCAATGGTATAATTTTCAAATTACATCAAATTAAATCACATAAGTTATTGAACCATTTTGTTTTTGACTGATTTTATTTATCTCTTCAGCAATTATTATAGAATTTAATTTATTTTTTATTCTAATTTTAATTAATTTTAAAATTTGTATAAAATGTTTGTATTTTGAGGCAATCTTAGGAGCGCCTCATGTATTAAAAAATTCTTATAGAAAGAGACTTGTTTTGAAATATCAGTCTAAGTCTCACGTCAAATAACTAAATCTAGAATAATGTAATTTTATTTTCAGTGCTTCCTCTCCCTAAAAAATTTCAATTTTTTCTTTTCACAAATATGGGAATGATGAGAAGAATTGTTGTTAAGATGCATAGTTTTATGTAAATCAGTTTCAAAAATTTCTGCCAGCTGTGAACGGGCCCATTTCAATTTCTTTGCATGGGACCCAAAATCCTTGCTGCCTGCACTGTTTGCGCACCACCCATCATGCTGATGTAGTTCAGCTTTGGCTTAAAGGGGAATACTGTTTTTTTTTTTTTTTTTTTTTTTTTTTTTTTTTTTTTTTTTTTAACATTCTGCCCTTGATTTTACATTATTACATCATGTTCTACTCACCCATATGTTTTGTGTTATTTGGAGCTGTTCTGAAGATATTCCGTTAGGTTATATCCAAGTAACGTCTTCCTATGGGCAAACGACTTGAAGGCACAAACTTAACTGTTCATAATTTATTCTTTATGGTACGCCAGCATTCATAACATGTAGGCAAATCACTGTCCCCCAGACATCCTGTCATGGTTTTACATTATCTAAAGCTCGGACCCACATGCAGTGAAACCAATTCAGAGAGACACAGATGAAAAGTTTAGCATGTTTATTGAAGAGTTTAGGCTCAGAACTCAGCTTGACCGGAAATGGAAGGTGAAGGGAAGACAATCGATTAGTTCAGGCTCAGTGGGAAATTTCATTTGTGGATATGGAGAAGATGATCTGGAGGTTGACTCACTTTTCTAGAAAAGTTGTAGGATCTTTGACTCCAATCTGTGTGCTGTTTTCCAGTGTTATTCTGATTCGGTGGAGGGCGGAACAGGGTTTACCCAGAACTCAGATGGTTGTTGGTGAACGGAGAAACTGGCTGCCACTCAGATTTCCTGCAGTACTTGAACGGGTTATAATGGAGATGATTCCCTTGCTCAGAGAGTTAACTCAACATCCTCTAAAAGGAAGAAGCATCCAAACCTCCTGTTTGAATCCCTAGCTCGGTTCGGGGCTCGGTTGATTCTTTCAGGGAGAGAAGGTCCGGAAAGATCCAGTTTGCAGGAAGACTTCCTGCTGAGAGGCAAAGACAAAAACGAAGTTAAAACTCAGGTAGAACAAGAACTGATACCAACCAGTCGTTCACAAACCAGGACATACTCTTTAATTAACTTAAAAGATTAAAAAGTAAATGAAATATGGAGAACAAGGAACCCGAGCAACAGGGAATTTTGCTGTTATTCAAGCATGCATCAATCCCATTCGCATATTGATTAATTTCTTATCTCTGTGGAGCTATTGCCTCACGTGGAGAACTGCTGGTAGTCTTGTAATTAGTGATCATGCTGCAGTGTCCCTGGAAATTAAAGTAAATAAGATTGATCAAGGGATGAAATGATGTAGGATGCAGACATTTTCCTAAAGGACTCAAAATGTGTTACATTTATAGAAACTTGCGTTGACAAATATTTTGAATTGAATACTGATGAAACAACAGCTAGTATTAGATGGGAAATGTTTAAAACTTATATCAGAGGAGAAATGATCAGCTATAGCAGCAATAAAATAAACAATATAACCAAGAATTAATATCATAAGAGGGACAAATTAAATCCAGCGAAGCAGAAATTTATCAGTGTAATGATCGTTTAAAATTACACAAACTGAATGTTTTGAGAACCAGAAAAAAATAATTACCAACAGAGAAAGTGGTAAAAAGCTTAAAAGCATTTTATGATCTAGGAGAAAACACAGGTAAATTATTTGCTTCGAGGATAAAACTGATGCAAGATGCAAGCGGAAAGAGCAATTAACAGCATGAAATCCAAATTGGGCCTTTTAACAACAGACCCTTCAGAAATAAATGAAAATTTTAGAGAATTCTCCAAAACCTGTTATAAATCTGAAAATTGTGGAAATGAAGAAACACAAGCCGCATTTCTTATCAATTAAAATTCAAAACCATTATAGAAGAGGAGAAAACAACTCTTGATAGTTCTTTAACAATAAAAGATCTATTTGAAGCAATGGACAACATGAATAGTGGTAAAACGCCAGGTCCTGATGGACTTCCAATAGAATTTCATGAAACATTTAAAGATAAATAATCCTACCACTTCTCAACATATATGAGGAATCATATAAAGGTGGAATACTCCCAGACTCACTGAGGTTAGTTAGTTAGTTACAATAACTCATTTGCTGAAACCAAACAAACAACCGACTGAATGCTCCTCTTATAGAGGAATCAGTCTTATGGGATGTGATATAAGGATTTTGTGTAAAACACTCTCTAGGAGATTAGATAAATACCTTTCCGAATTAATAAAAGATGATCAACAAGGATTTATTACAACAAGACAAGGATACCATAATATAAGACAGTTTATTAATGTATTATCAGTGGTGTGTACATGCATATGTTACTTAAGTATAGGCTACTGCATTTTATAAACACTGGTAAAAGTTAAAGTATTAACTGGACCTCTTTACTCAACTAAAAGTGAAAAAGTATGTGCTCCAAAAACTACTTAAAGTATAAAAGTATGAAATAACCTTTGAAAATACAGCTAGATGCCACTATATGAATTAAAAGCTCAATTTTTCGACTATTTCGGAAAATTCTCTGAGATAGGGCCAAGGATGAGGGAGGTCTTGTTGGTCTCCATCTCCATCTCCAGTTACGCTCTCGCCTGTGTCCAACCTTTCAGACAACCTTTCAACATCTTATTCTGAATCCCACATTGTAGCATGGCTTAGACAATTCATGATTGCAGTTTGAAGAAGACCTGCTTGCTTCTGATGATTTCCTTTAACCAATGAGTGTTTGCATTATATGACTCATCCAATTACAATAGTTTTCACTAGATGTGGATGGAGCCAATGATCTGCATTGGATGGCGCACATGATGTGAAATAAATATTTATAAACGTTAAACCAAAACCAAGAGTAACGTTTCTTTAAAAAAATGTAAGGAATAGAAAGTACAGATACTTGTGTGAAAATTTAATGAGTAGAAGTCAGAAGTAGGAATAAAAAGTAGTAATGGATTAAAGTATAGATACCTAAAAAGTTTACTTAAGTACAGTAAGTACTGAAGTATTTGTACTTCGTTACTTGACACCTCTGCTATTAAATAACTGTTTTGTGGTGTGTTTCTGAATTTGTTTGTGTAACTAAAACATTTAAATTAGACAAAAAAAGCAAATTAAATAATAAAACAAGGTAAACTTGTTAATGACATGACTCATTTGATTTTAAAAATAAATGGCTTACAGGACATTTCTTATTTTCTTGTTGTACGGGAACTGACGCCTGGTTTTTACTTACACTCTGAAAACACAATCTTGTGAGACTGTTAACTGGAAAACGAATTATATCATTATATATTGAAAGAAACGGGACGGTAAGTGTTAAATCAGAGAATAGGCTGTTTGAACGCAGTGGTCGCTTGTGCGCAAAATCATCAAACCACATCCCAGCTGATTTCCGACCTGACAGCTCCGGATGTACAGCGACCTTTTAGTATGTTTGTTCCTCCATTTCAACAGAAATAATCAGACACGATGGACACTTCTTACAAGTTTCCCGTTTTCTTCGACTGCGCCCCTTTAAACGAGGATCAGAGGAAGAGAGTAGAAACTTATTTCCAAATTCGGCGCAAATCGGGCGGAGGAGACTGCGGCGCGTTGACTGCGGTTGGAGAAAGAGTTTACAGCATCGCTTTTAAACAGCAAGAAGGTAAAACATCAGATTCATTTGTTAAAGTTGAGTTTTGCTTTAAAATAATATATTTAGGTTAAAGTGAAAGTAAAAGTTAAAAGGACGTTTTCCCTTTTTTTCATGATTTATTCGAATTTTACTATACCATTGCGGACTTATAGTGGAAATATAGTTTATTTAATTAATCTAGGATTTATCTTTTTCACAGCCAGTGCTGATTTTAATAATCTACTAAACTACATAGGTCAATGTTATTCTATTTTTAGAGACGCAGTACGTTCAAGTTTCACTTTCACTGAGGAGTTAACCATGGCCTTCATAGGAGTTAAATGATGTGTTTATAAACTACATCCATACTGAATTAGATACAAAACACTCTATCTATAAACTGAGTTAAAACAAGCAAAATTTCAATTGCTTTAGGGTAAACAGGCAAGACTATTTTGTTGTCGTTTTTATTTTGTTTTTATTCTAGATAAATAAGTGACATTAAAGCTATGAAAATAGGTAGAGAGAATCTGGGGGTCTGTGATCCACACTCTAATAGCCCCTCAAGAATTTAAAGGGTAACAAAAACTGTTTCACCATTGCCCTCTTAGTTTTAGTTTTTTTTTGTATTTTTAAAAGAAAAAGAGATAGACATTCTTAAATATCAAAAAAGATGATGAAATGAACAAATAACCTTAAATTACATCGTCTAAATGAGGAAACCTTGTTCCCCAAAGTCCCCATTTTTAGGTCAGTAAATGTGTTAAATGAAGTAAAAATTAGAAGCAAATGTTTCGTTTAGATCTGTATGCAGAGTTTCTGAAACCAGCTTGTTACTGAGTTAATGTGCAGGTTTACCAGAAACAATTCCAAGTTTGTCATGACTATAAAAGAAACAAGTCACACCTTTTTGCTTTTTTTTCATTCTGTCAATGCTGTGAGGTCTGTTTTGGTTGTGTCCCATCTGCAGCTCAACAAAGAGTTCTGCAGAAATCTGAGCATGTTGTGGAGTTTGCTGCTGCTACAATAGTGCTGACAGTGAGAGACAATCCTGGACCTACCGCCTCCTCTGGCAGCAGTGCTCAGCCTCCCGGCCAGTCAGCCAAACCAGACCATGATCCATCAACAGCATCTGAGGTATGTTTGAAATATTGATGATTATAAATTAAATTATACTTTGTTTTTCCCTGCTGTGTGCAAAAAGATAAACTCAGTTCTTTCTCAAACTACTCACCGTGGCCCATCCACTAATCTGGCTGACAGATCTAAAATGGGTGGGGCTCATCAAACATGAAAGCACATATTGTCCTGAGGCGGCTTTCTGTCTGGACTTATTTATCACCTGCTGCAAAAATATATCTGTTTAGGGCTGGAGTTTTTGACAGCCATCTTAGATTTAGTCTTAGTTTTTGTCTTCAGGACAAAAATCAGGCATTATGATAAGTGATAGTTTCAGTCGGTTTTAGTCAACTAAAATTTAAAAAGTTTTAGTCTAGTTTTAATCAGTTTTATGTTACTCAACTAAAAGCAAGTGTACTTAAGGAAAAGAAACAAGGTACTTGCTTTTAAAAATATTTAAAGTATCAAAAGTTGTATATGTATATTTTAATTAATACATCAACAATGTTATTTTAATGAACAATGCTGTGGACAATACATGTTTTTTTTTTTAACCTTCAGTCAGAGCTCACAGTTGGGACTGATAATTTTGGAATTTCCGGGATGATCTGCTAATTGAAATACTATCATTAAGTGCTCTTCTTGGGGGAGGAGGGTCCGATGGTACCTGCTCGCTTTGAAAGTGTTGAGTGGAACAATCTTCATCCAGAATTTCATTACTTCGAAACTTTTAAACAAAACCAAACAAATAAATGAATAAAACTCAATGTGACATGAATGTAACGTTTAATGAAAAGCATTATAAAATTGTAGTGGAGTTGAAAGTTCAAGTGGCAGTGCCTACAGGTGGGGCGACAGTGGTGTCGGATCGGGGGGTTGTCACTTCAAGTCCGAGCTCTGGCTTTCAGTGCCGCCCTGTCCTTGGTTAAGACAATGTAATGCCTACTGATGGGTGTCGAGTCACTGGTGGCACCAGTGTACGGCCACCATGAGTGTGTAACTGTGTGCGTGAATGGGCAAATGACTGAATGCAGTGTAAATCATTTCGGTCAAGTCCTCTGACTTGAAAAAGTGCTATATAAGTACAGGCCATTTACCATTTATTTAGTTAATGTAAATTGTAGTGGTGAAAAAGTAGAAAGTATCCACAGTTAAATCTACTTAAGAAAAGTACAGATACATAAAAGATTTGCTTAAGTACAGTAATAAAGTACTTGTTCTTCGTTACATCCAACCATTGCAAATAGGCCTAAAGATGTCTATGTTCCAAGCATAAGATTTTTTGGAAAAGGGTCTAACTGTTTTTCTTAAAATCATGTAAGATGGAAGTAGTGTGTGCTTCTAAACTAAATCAGATACTTCAGAGGTGTTTATTTCAGAGGTTCACCTACTCAAGAGCTGCTCCCTGAGGAGGGTCATTTCCAGAACTGTCATCGAAGCCCAGTTTGGCCACCTGTTACCCCGCTTTGGTGCCCACATAGCCTATGTGGACACCAACTAATAGTAGAGCCTCTCTTGGTTGATGTGGCGCGTTGAGCAGTAAAGTTCAGATTTTCCAACTTAAGCATCAGCTGCTCATGATGCCTCAGATGCTGCTCATGACACTGCACCAGCTGCTCGAAATGCTCTGCATGACATTTTAATGTGCCTTGATACGCTTGAAAAATAGACTCTGCATGTAAACCCACTGCTTCTGTTGCTCAAAGCACATTTGTGAACACACCTATCAGTCCTCCCCTCTACTCCATGTGATGATGTCATAGAAAAAGGCATGTACTCAACTTCAACTTGTAATTTAAACTTCAACTGAAAAATTGGAACTCATTAATGAACAAGCATATATATTTTTGTAAATGTTAAAAATATGGGTAATTGTATGATGAGGATGTGTGTAGGCACAACTGATGGTGTGATACATATGAATGTTTAAAAAAAACAATTATAAATGCTGGTCTTCTATTTTCCAGGAGCAGTCCAGGTTTCCTTCAAACCTGCCACCAAGTAGTAAAGAATATGAGCCACAGCTTGACAGTTATATCCTTCGTTGGCTCAAAGAATCTCCAAAAGTCATGGAAGAACTGGAGAATCAGCTCGCTCTGCTTTCCTGCACTGCAGAGCTTCAAGGGGACAGAATTCTAGTCAAGCATGTAGCTCAGTCAGAGGTTGCAGATACACTTGGTAAATGGAGGTCTAAAGTAAAGAATCTGTTTGATGAGTACACCTGCCACTATGAGTTGGATTCTCACAAAGTCAAAGCTTTGCTGCAGCCCGGTAGTTCTCAGGCGACCAATGATGGGGTAAAGGTGTATAGTGACATCGGGATGGCTGTTGTAGTAGGGAAAGGTAACCTGGTGCAAGCTAGATTAACAGATATAGAATGTCTGTATGTGAAACCTCGGGGCTCTAGTTTTAGTGACCCACAAACCACTGTCCGTCGAATCGGTGAGGCAAAGCTACATCTTCTTTGGAAAGACATTGAATCTAGTTTAGGACAAAACTTTCCAGCACTGAAAGTCACAAAGGCTGACGAAGGTAAGATAGTATTGGTGGGATCCGTGGAGGAAATGCTCAAGGCTAGTGAGGAAATTGCTGCCAAGGAGAAACTGGTGATAGAAAGGACACTTGCAGACAAAAGCCCACACTTTCTGGCCTTCTTAAAAAAGACTTATGGTGGTCCAGGAATGCTTTGCGAGTTTTTGGGAGTTGCTAAAATGGTTGAAACAGAGATGCGTGACACAACTCTGCACTTTTTCTCTCTCAGTGCCAATCATTTAGATGATGCTATAAGACAGATGCAAGAAAACTTTAAAGAAGTTAAATATGAAATTCCTAACTGCCCTGTTGTGCCACCAGAGCTTTGTGAAAAGCTGAAATCCTCATCAAATGAGATTAATAAAAAACAGTGCAGAGCTAATGTTGTGTTTGGTGCAGAAGGCACTGTGTGTTTGATCGGACACTCTCAAGAGGTTGAAGAGCTGAGTGAAATTGTGTCTCAGTTTATTTTGGACCAGGCAAGGATAGAGGGAAACATCATTCTCCCCTTTTCTGAGCTCGTTCCTCTTTTGCCAGAGTTTCTGCAGATGCAGGGGTTTGACTTTTCAGGGGTAAAATTCAGCACTGTAGAATCATCCTCTGGGCCCATGGTGTTGCTTGAAGGAATACAAAACAAAGTGACTGAGGTCAAGAATAGGCTTAGTCGACTTCTTGATTCTATTGAGAAGAAGGAAGTGATCATTGACCTGCCAGGGGCAGCAAGGTATTTTAATGGTCACTCTGGAAGAGAAATGCTCTTAAAGGTTGCACATTCTAAAAAGTGCCTCATACAGCTTGAGGAACAGCCTCATTTAAGCAAACAGAATACTGCTCTTGCTAAATACAGTCTCCAGCATGGCCTTCAAGTGATAGTTTATCAGGGTGACATAACAAAGCAGTATGCAGATGGCATAGTTAATGCTGCGAATGGAGATTTAGACCATGTTGGTGGTGTTGCTGCTGCACTGAGTAAAGCAGGTGGACCTCAAGTGCAAAAGGAAAGTAAAGATCTTGTGAAACACACCGGAAAAATAGCTGTTGGTGATGTAGTAGTAACCACAGGGGGCAACCTGAAGTGCCAGAAGCTGCTGCATGCTGTTGGACCTGAGTGTGGAAAAGCTAGTGGTAGGGAGAGAAGCTTGCTGGAGAAAACTGTCCACAAAGCTCTCAATTTAGCTGAACTGATGGAGTTTAAATCTATTGCCCTGCCTTGTATCAGTTCTGGCATATTTAGTGTTCCTGTCAAAGTTTGCTCTGAGGCCATTGTAACTGCCATTAAGGAGTTTGGCAGTAAGGATGGACGTAGTCTGAACAAAATTATACTGGTAGACCAGAGGGGAGAGGTGGTGAGGGCCATACAGGATGCGTGTGACCGCCATCTGCCAAATAAGGACTTGAGACCTACAGTGGATGATGCTGGCCATGAAGCAGCAGGTGGAGCTGCTGCTGAAACTCCTGTACAAGTTGAGATTGTTCAAGGAACCATTGAGAACCAACAGGTAAACTACAATTTTTATTTTATTCATTGTTCGTTAATTCTGAATATTTGATATTCTAATGTATCTTAAAGTTAACTCCAGATATTTGATCAACATGATGACTAGGTTCTGATGTACTAGATAATAAATTGTTTCCTATCCTAGGAGGATGCCATTGTATGTCCCATGCTCGGTCATGATCCAGTCTCTACACGCATTGGAAGTATTTTAACTAGAATGGTTGGATCTCAGCTGTTAGCGCTGTTTCATAAGGAAGCAGGAGGATTTACACAACCAAGTGAATCAGTTCTAGTTGAAGGTTTATCTGGTCTTAAATGTAAAGCAGTCTTCTTTCTTAACCTACTGCCCTGGAATAACAACCAACATGGACCTGCAGCCCAGGTGAAATTTCTTTATTTTTATTTACTGTATTTATTTATTTTTATTTACTGTATTTATTTATTTTTTTCAGCTGCTTTTTTTCCCTTTTGCTTGAATGTTGTTTTTTTTTACCTGTTTTTTTACCCTTTAAACCTCCTAGGCACTCAGACAGGGAATCAAAAAAATATTGGCTACCTGTAATATCAGGGGCTACAATTCAGTGGCTCTTCCAGTGCTTGGGACTGGAGGTCTCCTGCATTTTCCACACAACACAGCTTCTAAGATTCTTCTGGAGGAAGTTGGTGTGTTTGAACAAACCCAGATCAGCAAGTCACCTTTCCTCCTTCGAATTGTTGTTCACCCAATGGACAAAGAATCAAGCAAGGTTAGGAAAATGCTCTAGATGTTCTAATACATTTAACCAATTTTCTTTTTCTAGATTGGAGTCATTATATATATATATATATATATATATATATATATATATATATATATTATTATTATTTTTTTTTTTTAACTGCAGGCCCTTCAGTCTGCCCAGGGGAAATTTCATCTTAGAGGATTTACAAATGATGTTGACCCAGCTCATGGTTGGTTACATATTTTTTACTTTTTTATTCCAATTCAACTTTATATTTTCATCTCAAAGCTTAGGTGTGACGTTAAATAGCTACACTAATTAAGGAAATGATTTATTTTGAGTATCTGATCCTGCTCTGTGTTGTAAAATATGTAGTCTGTCATAGTTACTAGTTTAGGCCGCACGTTCTCCGAAGCAAATGACAAGATCTCCATTTAACTCGTTGCCTAGCTTCTCTCGTCCTGCACAGAAGCCAACTTTCACCCACCTCCATCCCATCTCTTCCGTCTTTCTCAGACTAATGTACTGTTCCACTCACCCTCTGGCTTATTCCATCACCAGTGTCCGTCTGGGCCAAAGGAGAAGACTACTCTAATCATTTTCTAGGCTACTCATCACAGCGTTCATTGATTCACTGCATTGAAGTCTTCTGCCGGGGCACGAGAACCAAAGAACTTATTTTGTTTATTTCTTCGTATGCCTCTGACTCACACCGAGTCTTGTTCTGCTGGAGGTTTCTTCCTGTTAAAAGAGTTTTCCTCTCCACTCTTGCTACATGCATGCTCAGTGCGAGGCATTGCAGAGAGTCAATATGGCCTGACAATCAGCTGGTTTTCCTTGGATAGAAATATTTTGAAGTATATAATTGTATTACCAGTAGATAAATTTAATATTTTCTAATTGCAGCTTTTCTCTGTGTGAGTCTTCCCAGGTTGAAGTACTGAGTTTATGCAGCATAGTGGGATCAATAGGGGGAACAGGCTTTACTCATCTTGGGGAGCTATGTGGAGATCAGAAAAAAAGAATAAAGTTATTTTTCATCCACTTTTTTTTATTTAAACATAGGTTAGACAGTGTAAAACCTTCCACCAAACTTTCTGTGTGAAGTTAATAACTTCAGTACAGTGTGCAAGCATTGTGCAACAAAACGTGTTGCACAATGCTTGCACACTGTTGCACTTTTAAACACAACTTTCTCTCACTCTAAATGCAAAGTGGTCCCATACAGCAGACCTATAAAGTGCTGCTGGCGCATCTTCCAACTCCTGTTCTTTCCCACTCGCCATACCGACACAATTCTCCACAACAACTGATTTTTTTCTGCTACACCCGGCTACGCTGCTTCGCTTCTTCTTCTTGTTTACTACTGGTTGTTGGCTTTGGTCGCAGTACCGCCACCTTCTGCTCTGGAGTGTAAACGCTTCGCCTATGAGAAAAAGGAGCAGCGCATGAACCGAACGCAACACACGCGAACCGAACCGAGACAGTCGAACCTAACGGTTCGGACGGTTTTCATAAACCCTTCCATCCCTAGCATTTTAGAAGTAACTAATAACTATCTAGATTCTTTTTTACTGTACAAAATGTGCCCAACTTTGAACACAACCATGTAAAACAAATGTAGCAGAAATAGTTTACATTCTTGTTAAAATTTTAAGTAAAAAAAAACTTTTTAATCTTTTTTTTTAAGAACTAGCAATCTGTTATGACTGGAAATTCTTGAAAAACTATGTTTAATGTTTTAATGAAAATATATGAAAGTATATTCACATTTTTTATTGCTGTATTTTAGCTTCTTTTTACAGACATGTTTCCATAACTAATACTGAGGTCACAGCCATGATGGGTGGAGTCAAGCTACAGATCATCCATGGTAACATTCTAACAGCAGGAACTGACGTTATCGTCAATACAACCGACTTCACCAACCATCAGTCTGGTATGATCTGAGTGTTTTCATTTTGATAAAAAAAAATAACATAGCCACAACAGTTTTTTTTTTCTTTCATGGATGTGATCTATAATATCTTTAATCATACTTCTAAACAGGTGTCTCCAAGGCCATTATGACAGCAGCTGGCCCAGCAGTCCTAACAGAGTTAAATAGAGGTAAAAGAAAGAGGAAATACAAAAAAATATGATAAACAACAGTCTTATGAGACTTTAGGTTTAAATATTTGGTAATAAAAGTCATTTGTACAAGAGAATAAAATGATACAGATTACTAATTCAGTTATGTCCACCAAATATTTCACTTACATATTTTGATTGTATGTTGTATTTGTGAGTTCTCGATGCTGCAGATGAGGCCTTTTCCTGTTCTCTCATTACTGGAACCACTTGCTTCAACATCTAAGGATCCTACAGACCTTGTCGATTAAAACTGCCCTTGAAATCTCTTTACTTTTTACACAATCTTTTTAATAGTCTTGTTTATTTTTTTTGTGTGTATTTAATTGTGTATATTATTGTTTTGATATGTTCAATATGTGTGTAAGTGGTAGAAGATGGATGTTTTTTATTATCTGTAGCACTTTGATATTAGTTTTGAATTTAAAGTACATTACAAATCCATCCATCCATTTTCTTACACGCTTATCCCATGTGAGGTCGCGAGGGGTGCTGGTGCCTATCTCTAGCAGTCATTGGGTGAAAGGTGGGGTACACCCTGGACAGGTCGCCAGTCCATCGCAGGGCAACACAGAGACAAACAACCATTCACTTATTTGCATTAAAAAAATAAAATCTATTATTATTATTTACAGTGGGCATTCCTTCAGACCTCATCTACTCAACACAACCTGGAATGCTTGGGTGTAAGGAAATCATCCATGCTAGCTTTAAATCTGACCCTGATGTGATTCGCAAGAACTGCAAAAAGATACTGAAACTCTGTGAGAGCAAAGGATTTGGCTCAGTGGCATTTCCAGCTGTTAATACAGGTTTGTGCTACAACACGTTCTTTTGTTCTGATTGTGCTTAATAAATTTAGAAAGTTGTAAAAAAAAAAGCAAAGGAATATTTTTTTGAATAAAATGAAAACCAATAATTTGATGAATTAAATAACATGCATCTTCAAGAAACAACCCTAACATTCCATCTGAAAAACAAAAAAACTGAATAGTCTAATAACTGTACATGAAGGGAAAACTAAACCATTTCTTCAACCTTTTAGGACAGGGTGGTATGAGCCCTGGTGATGCTTCTGAAGCAATGCTGGATGGCCTGGCCTCAACAGTTAGGGACATGAATCCTTCTTCTCTCTCTCTTGTCCGCATTGTTATCCTTCAACAAGATGTTTTTCAGGCTTTCAGGTATGAATTTTGACATAATCAATGTTATTCTGTGGGTCATAATGGTTTCTTTAAGTTTCCCTTCATATTCTTACAGATCAGAGCTGGAGAAACGCTTTGGACAGATTGTTCAGAGCCAACTTGGCCTTAAAGGTTTGCATAAAATTATAACTATGTTTGTTGCTAAGTTAAAATATAAACATGATTTAACTTGTCTTCCACAAGCAAACAAAAAAAAATCATTTAAAAGGGATCAAATGAAATTTTTTTACCATGAAATTGAGGAAAAACTAGTCAAATAAATGGATGACTTAGAATGGGTTGGGAGTTTAAAAATATTTTCAATGCAAGTTTGTAACGTGATTTTGAGGAAAACAAGAAGGTGAAATTTTGATTTAAATATTTATTTTACTTGTTGCAGTCATTTTGCCAAATTCAAAGTAAGCAATATATTCAAAAACACTTGTTTACCGAGCCATATCAATTGACTGCAAGTATTTCTTTTTGAAAATATATTGCTAGTTTTAACGATCACTAAAATATTCAAAACCAAGGATAAGTGGAGTAACTTTTGGTTCCGTCAGAATAAAACACTCCCCTTCTCTCTCCTTAACTCTTTTTTTCCCCTTATTGCAGATAAAGCTAGACAAAAGCTAAAGAAGATACAGCAGAAGTGTTCTAGACTCTCAATGACCTTGTCCAAAAAAGACCAAACTTTAATTTCTTCAAAGCCTGAGCAAACAGTTTTGCAGGTAATCAGTTGTGGTCCAGATGTTACCCAGGCCGTCAAAGAAGAACTAGAGAGGAATCTGCAGAAAGAGCTTACAGAAAGAACAGTGGATGTGCAAAATTTACTCAAGCTGGATGCTATGGAATTGGATGCAGTAAAGGCAAAAATCAAAGTTACCGGAATAAGTCTAGAGCACAGAAAAAACAGTGCTGGCTTATTAAGGGGAAGAGATCAGGCAGGTTCAGGAAAAGAGGTATACGTGCTGAAAGGATTAAACGAAGATGTCTTGAGTGTCACTGAGTTAATTAACAAAGCAGTCCAGAAAGCTCTTGAAGAAGACCTCATAGATAAGGAAGAGGCGATGTTGGCTCTTACTATCCAGTGGGCAATCAAAGATGACAATGGTGAGTGGCAGGAGCTGGGCCTTCGTGAAAACTACATGCTGGAGGGGGCTCACTCAGTAAAAAGGGTATCTGTGGAGATGGAGACACCTGATGGCAGGACTCTGACAGTTAACCTTAAGTCTCTGGAAGCCACTGACTGGACAACAGGGAAAACATACAAACTTAAAAGGACAGAGTCTGAAGGTAATGTATGAAATGTTTATAGTGTCTTCTTTTTTAGATGGGCCATGGTTTCTTCAGAGTTTTATGTCTATAGTTTTTTCTAAATATGTTGTGGTAATTCCTGTTTTAGTGTTGGACTTACCACCTCATTGGGAACCAATGAATGAGGAGATCTTTAAAAAGATACAGTTGCAGCCTAACTCCAAGGAATACCAAGACGTAGCTAGGGGCTTCCACAACACTACCCAATACAAAATTCATTCGGTAAGTAAGCCAACATTGTTACATAATTATGAAAGCTAAAATGAAAAAGCTTGTACATTGTACTTTTTTGTTTGTGGTCTCAGATTGAACGAGTGCAGAATGTTTACCTGTGGAATGCCTATAGTTTGTGTCGGCAACGCCTTCTTACCAAGAATGGCCCAAAGGAACTTGGGGAAAAGTTCCTCTACCATGGCACATCTGTAGAGTCATGCAATTGTATTGAAAGAGATAGGTTTGACAGGAGTTACACAGGACTGCATGGTAAGCTTTGATTACTTGATACCTAACAAACATATACAGTACAGATAAAAAATATATATGGTAGGTTAAAGGCTATGCCAAACTGATAAAACATTTTTGTAAAACTTGTTACAAATTTCTTGCAGGTGCTCGCTACGGAAGGGGAGTTTACTTTGCAGTCAATGCAAATTACTCAGCTAAAAATTATTCTCCAGTAGACCAGTCAGGAATGAAGCGGCTATATGTTGCTCGTGTTCTCACTGGCCGTTACACAGTTGGTAAATCCGCCATGAAAGCTCCCCCCCCTCGGGGTACAGACCGCACTGACTGCTACGACAGTTTGGTGGACAACCAACAAATTCCCACGATGTTTGTTATTTTCCACGATGACCAGGCCTACCCAGAATACCTCATCACCTTTAACTGATTGCAGAGATTTGGAATTCCTTCGTTAGAGTGCAGATACAAAACCCATGACCTCTAAAGTACCTTTTTTAATAATGAAATTTTTTTTTTTTTTTTTTTGTTACTCTTATCTTGTTGTAAAAAATGTTGATGTATCAGCTACATTGGGGAGAAAAGTGCTCTAAAAAGTAGTCCTTGGTCTTCTAACAAAGTGACAACACGTAAATTGTTGTAATTTAGTTGAAATTTTAACTTATTTAGACTGAAACAACCCAAAAGAAAATTTATGTGGAGGATAATGGAGGATATTTTAAATTGCTGATCCCTTCAATTATTCATGTCTGATGATTCTGAATTATTTGAAAATAGAAAAATTATCCCAAGTGGTTTGAAAAATGTTAACCTTGTACAGGAACTTTTTTGCTAAATGCTTTAAGCTGAAAGGTTGGAGAAAACGTCTGTTAAATTTGTTAACCTGAAGTTCTATGCTGACGGCACAGAGAAAGCTCAACTGAGTCATTATTGTTTTAAATTCCATTAATACCCATTAATGTTAGAAAATATTAGCTATAATATACCAGTAGTTACTGTAACGCAATGTTATGTTCTTATTTAGAGTTTTCTTGGGGGCGGGAATCCACACATATGTTTAACAATCTGTATTTGGGAATTTTAGTTTCACAGCAAAGCCAGTGCTAAACCATCAAAAAATTGGACAACGCCAATGTTTGATATAGCGCTAGGATTTGGTTCATTTTTAAACAGTTCTATACTTATTATAAATATTTGATATTATTTTTCCTTTCCACTGTTGCTACAAGCATGCTTGATCTAAGGGATTGCTGTCCAGTCAATGAGTCAATGCAATCAGCTGGTTCTCCTTAGATAGAAAACTGAACTGACTGTATGATCTGGCTGAATTGTATCTGAAAAAGTGCCTTGAGATTACATGTTGATGACATCTCTTAACATATTAAACCAGAAACAGGTAATATAATTCCATAATCTAAAGTACAAGTGAAAACACAAAAATGTATTAATGTTATAGCTTTTTTTTTTGTAATATGATTTATTAGTTGTTTCACTTTGTAATGCATTACAAGCTCTTAACTGTTCAAGGAAATCAATAAAACAAACTTCCACATTAACATATGTGTGTGTGAGAAGTTAAGTTAAAATCTTTGTTGGGTGAGGGGGTGGGCAGTGGGTCATGTCTTACTGCTTGTTTTTTTGGGAAATATTAAAAATTGTATGTGAACAACAAAACAATTGAAAGGTTGACTAGCTTTATTATTTTCAATACTTTAATATACAGTTTATTTATAGCAGCTGTACAAGATACTATTACAATATTCAGGATCAGATCTTTCATACAAGTGATGGGTATTCATTTTCATTAGAAATTAAAAACATCATACTCCATAAAAATGTTTTCTCAGTGTATAAAACTGCATAACTCGCACATGGTAGTTGCCTTAAAGTGATTGTAGAAAATAAAATATTCATGAACTTCTATTCAAAGATCAGTTTCTGTTTAGAATTTTCTTTCATCATTTTCTATAGTGGGGAGATTAAGAATCCGCTGAATGTGGAATAAAGATATCCATTATCGCTGATTTTCCTTGAATCCCAGAGGCGGACATTCACCATGTCTCCAGCCTCCACCAGCAAGACGGCGCTGTTGGAACCAGTGATGGGTGAACTTTTGCTGTAACCATACCATGACACAAGGGCGTTACCATTTTGATAAAGACTTCCACCAGTGGTTCCATCACCTTCCCAGCAGAATGAAGAAAACGAGAAGTAGTAGATTCCTCTCACAGGCGCTGTAAAGTAGCCTGCAGATGTAAAAAAAGTAAAGCAGACCACAAAAATCAGCCGTAGAATACAAAGAGGAATTATCTTTTAGCTCTTTAACTATGTAAGAGTTATAACTTTTGGTTTCAGACAAAATAAAAAATAATTTAATAGCAAATCATGAAATAGAAAGTTAAATACTGACCCGTCACTGGACTGTAATGACCTCCAATGTTGGACAGAACTTGTTTGTATACCAGCGGATAAAGAACATTCACTTGACCAATGGTTCCGCTTACTGGCTGTGCTACAAAAAATGCCACATGATGTTGTTCTGAAATTGAAAAGAAATTGACAATTGCAAGTTAAAAAAATAGAGAACCATTTTTAGTCTAAAGATTACAATATCAGTAGATGACTAGGGAATCTCAAAGGATCCTTATTAATTTGCAAGTCAATCTAATGCCAATATCTATATGTTTTTTTTTTATGTATAAATAATTGGACTTTCAATATTAGATATTATTGACCTTTAGCTAAAACAGGTCTTAGAGTATGCTGAAACTCAAAACTAATGTGCCGTTAACACAAAGTAGAACCCTGAAACTCTCAGGATTTTTTACATTCTGCTCATAAGCTATGTTTGCAAGTCTATTGTGTCTTCTATATGATCAAGATATATATAATCAGCAATGATGTTTTGATTCACAGAAAATTGACCAAAACCCTAACTACTTTTTGAAATTCTTTGCAAATAGATGTATTACTGTAATTATCTCTTAATCAAATACCAACAACAAATCTGCTATTGAGTTAATCTTGTCTCCAATCAAAAAACATGTGTGATATATTTTTATGCAATAAGTTACCTTCATAAATAGTTTTCATCTCTTTCAGTGTGTTGTTAAGAATAACAACATTCTTCTCGCTGGCTTCCAGCTTTCTGTTGGTTTCCTCGAGGGCTCTCACCGTGGCTTTCTGCCTCTCTTCAAGAGCCCCAAGCTCTTTCAGCACTGTGTAGATGTTTGGTTCACATGCTGTCTCTTCAGCTTTTGTGTTGGATTCCTCAGCTGTTAATATTTGAAGCTCCTGACTGAATGTTTCTTTGTCCTCTGTCTCTATCAAATTTTTTTCTGGCTCTTCAACTGTGGGCTCAGTGACAGTCTGGTTGTTCTCGCCTTCAGCCTGGCAGGTTGCCAGCAAAACAACCAGACCCATGAGAATCAACAAAGATGCAGACCTCATTCTTCAGCTTGGTTTATGCTTTTCAGATATGTCTGCACCTCCTTTAAGAAAAATGTTCAAGGACTTTGAAGATGTTACCATATATATAGAGGTTGTAGAGTTAATCATTAGATTTGGTTAAAGATTTCAATCTGCTTATAGGATAAGTACTATGATAACATGTAAATATTTCCTTATTGTTTTCAAAAGAATATTTGTTTTTCAGATGTCATATGACTTTACTGAATGTTCAAAGTCTTCTGCTCAATAAAATCAAGAATGATTACCTGTTCCAAAGAATGTTTTATGGTCAATACAGATTATACACGTGAGTTTCCAGTTCTTATAACTTGCTCTTCCTGTTTTGTTTTTTGTCCCATATCAGAATCCCAGGGATGATACCATATATAGTTGCGTTTTGCCTACATGTACCTGGGAGGATTTAATTACAAACATATGTTTAATTGCTATCTTAATTCTGTTGTTAGCTTTTTGTATAGAAACTTCATTATATCAAGATGTCATCTGCAAAATAAATGGATTAAGATATTACAGGAAAATAAATTAGAGCTTATGCTGGAAGGCCATGTTAGTGATATCATAGATTCTTATTTTTACCTTTGCATTTTAATTCTAATAAGGCTTATCATCAAAAGTAACTTAAGAGCATGTTGTTGGTATTACCTTTTTAATGGAAGAGCTGATGGGCAAAAGAAAGATGGAGGGACGATAACCCACTGTTTTTCTAGAGGGTTAAAGGTTAGAGGGCTGTTTATGAGCTATACATCCACCGTAATCATGGAGCATATAATACAGATAGCTACTGTTGCTTTTAAATATTTTGTTTTGCTTAACTTTGCATATTTATATTTTTTGGTATGATTTCTTTCACATTTCTTGATGCATTAATACATATAATTAGAGATGTGAGAATAAATCAGTCTGAATCTGTGCTGTTCTGATTGTTTTATATAAGGCAAAAGATGCCCTATAAATACTGACAATTTTTCAGTTCATCTAGAAATTGAGGCCTTTTCTTTTCTTTAAAATCTTTGAAGCACATAAAAATTTTTTTTTTTTTTCTGATAGTACAGTTTCTTCTATTTGCTTTCTGTTATGGACCAATAACCCACTGAATAACTTAATGTGGAATTTCTGAGCAGAAATCAGATGCACATTTCAGGACATAAACTATCACTCCTACATCTTACTGATCCTCATCAGCAGGTTTTTAATTTTTTTTTTTTTACTAATGACACACTCTTGAAGAACTAGAAAACAAATCCCTTCAAAAACAATTTTGCAATTGATCTGCATCCCAATCAAATCATTATTTCTAGTAAAAGGCTTTCAAAAACTATTCTTGCAAACTGAATTTTATTATATTCTACATTCCCCTCTTTCTCTCAACAACCTGTTCTTCGAATTTGCAGCTTTATTGCCGAGATAATTCACAGTAAGCTCAGACGGTCTGAAACATTTGCTCACTATACATCAGTAGCTGAGATTCCAAACATTTGAAACTGAGAGCTTTTAAATGGGGCAGGATGTTGACCTGGAAATTTATTTTTACTATCATATCATTGATAGCTGCAGTTACTCAGATAAAGAGCAATATATAACATGAAAACTACAGTATAAGCAGCAACGTTATCGGTGATAAAGCTCAACAATCAAAGTTAAACTTTAAAGACTATCTAGGTCAGTTCACACATTACAATATCAGACACATGGATCAAACATGTAAAGTGTGCAGACATAAACCTGAATAACAAAGATAAGGATAAAGTTGATAGAGAGCATGGTTTAATGCATAACAATCAAACTCTGCATGGAAAAGAGGAAGATTAAGTTCTGGCATGGAAGTTTAGGTGTGTTGTGTAGAAATATTCACAAATGTAAATAAAAAGGTATCTTTCGGGCATAAACCATATTGGAGAGTATACAAAACAGTACAGTAAACAGTTTTAACCTTATAGATAAAGAAGGATCACAACCCACATTATCACTTCATTATATTATATATTTACAAACCTGACAGATAAGAACACCATGAGGAGATTATTTTTATGTATGATATCAGTGACCATACTGTATACCAGCTTTTATGGTTTATGACAACTGTTACAGAAAAGCTGATTACACACATAAGTACAAAATAATCAAAACAGCGGTGCATTTAGAGAAGATTTTCTTCTTACAAATTGTGTTCTTGGGAAGATGGGGGGATTTCACTGATTTCACCATGCCTGAGCTATTTCCTAACAAGTAGGAGGTTCGTAGCACCTCTCAGTGCATCACGCCTGCCACGGAAAAGAGCCTACAGCAGAATTTTTAAGGACGGCAATCAAGACCACACTAATCATTTATTAATTAATTCCGTCTTGCTTAAATTCTTTGATCTGGTCAAATATCAAACCTCACAAAGTATAAGCTTAATTTAACGTTGTTGCCTTTGTTTAATGTGTTAGGAATCCAGTTTGTGTGATGTGTTTTTGTGGGTTGTTTGTGTGTTTTTCTCTCCATCCACCACCAGGTGGTGCCCTGTTCTTGTTGGCCTTCCCGCGCACCTGCGGCTCGTTGGTTCATCACTGAAGAGTATTTGAGCGGCGGACTGTCACTACCTCCATGCCAGTGTGTTTGCCAGTTTTGGGTACTCTAGCCAAGCTGAGTTTAGCTGAGTCTATCTGAGCCTTAGTTTCTCTGAGTCTAACTTCGTTTTTCTCGTTTTTCTGCCTTTTCAGCAGGAAGCCTTCCTGTGTAACTGGATGCCTGGCCTTCTCCCCCTGGAAGGATTAACTGAGCTCACACTTAGCAGGGGAAAACGTCCACACATGCCGTTCAAGTCCCTTTCGGAAATCCAAGTGAAAGTCCGCTCCATTGCTCCTCTGGGTCCAAACAGGGACAGAAGTCTGTGTCTGATTTTGCTATAGATTTCAGCATCCTGGCTGCAGCTTCTGGCTGGAATAGCGCTGCTCTCAAGTGTGTCTCGAACAATCAATCATCAATCAATGACCCTATAAAGGACAAACTAGCCCCCCTCGATGATCCTAAAATGCTGGAGGATCTAATCATGCTATCGATCCGTCTGGACAACCGGATTCGAGCCCGAACCAACGAAAAAGGTTTGCTCCTCTGGGTGCAACGAATGTCTACCTGTCCACTCTCCAACGAGTTCCCTCTTCTCTGGATAAACCACACTAACTGAATTCAAGGACTTACAAGTTCTCCCTCAAACACTTTCCAGTTCCGGTTCACCAGTTCACTGAGTTCCAGATCCAACACCTGTACTCATTCTCTCAATAAACCTGTTAAACTTTTCCCCTAGTTCTCTGAGTGGTTCTCCTCATGTGGGTCAGATCTCTTAAAACAAATTTGACAGAACACTCTGGCCATTTAGAAGCCATCAACCAAAAACAAACAGCCCTAACCAGACATAATAACACCTTGGTTGAATTAATCAGCCAGCAAACTGAGTTGAACCGCCGAGTGACAGATTTAACCAAGGCTGTCCGTTTTACTCTCCAGGCTCGGGGCCCAGCCGGTGAGCTAGCCCCGCCTCGAGCTAATCAAGCAACCATCTCTTTAAGCCAATCGTCCGTCATCTGTGAGGGGTGCTTTATTGCATCTAACAATCCCAAATGGGAATAAACACAGATTACATGAAATAATCAGTAAACATAAATAAGTTCAAATGAAGTCTTTAATAATATTCAGTTCATTAGCTCAACTGTTGTGATGTAACATTCAAATCAATTAAATTTCACTTAATCCAATAATGAAAAATGACCAATAAGCACATTGCATTTGTTGTGATAGCAATGAGAAGTGTATGGCAACGACTTGAGGTGTAGGGAACCCAGCTACAAGCATGCTACTGAAATAATACTCATTCTGGTATCTTAGCAGCTAGGATGTACACTCCAGGTAAATAAATGGCGGTTGATGGATTTCAGTCAGTCAGCATTTTATTTCATCTTTGCAAAGAGAGAGCAAGACATCATACATACAGTACCTTATTGCATGGTATCCAACCCTGTTCTGACTAGACAGAGTTTTTTTTCTCCCTAATTAACCTTGAAGAAAAGGTGTGAAGGTCTCCACACATATCTCTACCCAAAACAAAGACGGAGAGATTGGGCAGAGAGTCTAAATGTTATTAGAATTACCTCATATTATCCTAATGGGTAAAATAACCCCCCTCTCTCTTAAAAACACTGTAGCCTTGCAGCTTTGAGGCCAAATTAATAAAACTCAGCACTCATAAATCTGTTTATTTATATCTGTATATCTATATATCTATATATATATATCTATATCTATATAGATATATATATATCGATATATATATATATATATATCGATATATATATATATATATATATATATATATATAGATATATATATATATATATAGATATATATATATCTATATATATATATCTATATATATATATCTATATATATATATCTATATATATATAGATATATATATATATAGATATATATATATCTATATATATATAGATATATATATATTACCAGATGGTAATAATAGGCCAGAAACCCAAAAACCAAAGGGATTTAAGCAAAGCTGTTTCCGGATGAGCCAATAAAAATCCTCCATTATAGTAATTCTCTGACAACCTGAGTGCGTATTGTGACAATTTCAGCAAAGCTGTGAGATTCAGTGCACTGACATTAAATCAGTGACAGCTGGTGGAGTTTTCTCCAGGGGTGGCTATAAATTCAAAATAGACGTGTACCAAAAACCATTTAAACGTATACTAAGTTATCACACCAGTATATTAATATGAATGCCAATAACAAAACAAAAGAATATAATAATAGAGCAACACTTTAAAAAAACAAAACATAATTTCATATACTTGCCCTTCTTAGGCTTTGTGAAGGCAAATCTGTGTTTTGCAATATTGAGTACGTGCATACTGTTTTATTTATTTATTTATTTATTTATTTATTTATTTATTATTATTTTTTTTTACATTTTCAATGCTAAACTTCTCCCAGGTTGTGCCTGAATCTGTCGCACCCTGTTGGTG